AAGGGCTTGCATTTGAAATAGAAACCATACTTTTTAGCTAGGAAAAGATTCAGCTGATAATACCACAGCATTGTGACATAGCCGCAGACTATAGTTTTAGTAAAGGTTTTCCGGAGCTCGCAACGGCATAAGGTCATATGAGCGCCAGAAGATTAGAGGTGTTACAAGAGAGTAACAAACATAAAAAAGAACGGGAGATAAGGACGATAAATGGCAGACTGTAAAAAACTCAACATCAACCTTCAGCCAGAAACACGAGAACCATTCTCCATTCCCGGTAAGAATTTAAGAATTGCCACAACAGAGCTACAGTTGTAAATTCATACCGTCTTACAGGCATTATATAAACCATATCAGAGGTGGTCTGTTTCCCTCCTGCTTGTCAGGGCCAGCCTGGTCTCGGAGGGCTTCATCCAAGCAGAGAGACACCAGAAAGTAGCTGCGATAGATTCCTCATTTTGGAATTGAATTGAACCCATATCCTTTACATTCAAGGCAAAGAGCTACTCCATCAAATTATAGATGCTAGTGGTACCACTATACAAGTGAGAGCAGAAAAAAGTTAAAAACAAAACCAAAAAGATCTAGCGTGACAATTTCCTGGGCACAGACAAATAGACAAATGAGAAGCAAAATGACAGTAAAGAGTTGAGGATCACTCAAGTTATTTTTAAAGTAAAGAGAAAGTAGGATTTCTAACAATCTGCTGAGACAATTACATTTACATATTATTCCACGTCAAACACAACAATCAATAAAAATCTGCTTTTAAGCATTCCAAAAACCAGTGCATTTTGAACAACATTTTACAAGATCTTTTATAAAAATTTCCTTCTTCAATTCAACACACAAAACTGACATAAGGAAAAATAATTCATTTTAGACAAGCAAATCAAACATTTCCTGCATATAATGGGGAAGCATAACATTGGCTCGAGTCCTCAAGATTTCTAACAAAAGACGCACCACTAAAGTAATGTATCTCCCTCCCCGCATGCTGCCCTGTGAATGAAAGTAAGCCTAAGCTAAAAAAAAAGTTAAATAAAAAAAAGCATTACACTGGCTTAAATCAGTGCTCACAGTCACTGCTTTTAATTCTAATAAAAATATACATTTACACAAATGGTCATAAATAACCCAAACCTCAGAAAGCATACATTGATTAGTGCATCTAGAGACTGTGAAAATGAAAAAGAAAAAGCTTCGTCGTGATCATGTTGCATTTGATCATCTACCTTCTCCCCTCACAGAAATGCTTCCAAGAAGGAAAAGGTGGACAAGCCATAGCATACATTACAAAAGAAAACAAAGCGCAGCTCATACTTTCAATCCCCACTCTGCGGCGAGTTTGTATTCCTACATTATCCTGTCCCACAATGATAACATTTATATCCCTGCTCCTACCTCTGGACAAAGCTACATTATACTGAAAAGAAAAAACAAACCCTTCACAAAATACATTTTAAAACTTGTCTAAGGTGGCTACAGCAAGCAGGTGATAAAGAAAAACCTGATAATTACAAACAAGTATACTGCAGACGAATCAAAATAGAGAAATATATTTGTCATCTTTTTCCAGTTTATACAGCACACACAGAATCAATAAGTGCTGAAAACGATAACTTACATAATATCAAAGATTTTGAGAGAAATCACAAAAGAAAATCTGTTTCACACAAGGACAAAAATTGAGTATTGTTTTACATTTCAAAGTAAATAAAAACTGCTTTCGGTATACTGAAGAACTCCCTCCTGTTACATGGACGCACAGTGAAGAACCAAGCAGCAAGTAACAAGTATTTAAAAAGCGTATTCTCCTGAAAGTAGATTTTTGGTGTTTGATATCTATTATAACATATGGTAAAAGTTGGGAAAACACTAGTCACAGTCTCAAGTTAAGTCAATCTGAACAAGTTTGTGGAAGCACTGAGTCAAACGTAAGGTAGGTACTCTACGAACAAACCAACTGATTAACACTAACCAACACCTGACCTTCAGTTGTGAGCTGCATTTTAAACTTTTAAACCACCTTTACAAAACACAGCTTACAAAACTCCTGAAATTTAGAATATCTACATAAACAAAGTTCTGAAATGTTGTCATGGGCAACACTTAATAACTTTTCAGGATCCAAATATCAAATGATTCACCAAATTCGTCACATCCAATACAGATTGTACATTAGAGAACCAAGAGTCCATTTATAAATTGAGTGAACTTTATAAAAAAATCAAATTTGAAAAGAAAACCTGCCACGATTGTATGCATCTTCAACTGACTGTGAGAATCTCTGCAGGTCAACAAATCTCAAAACTTCAGACAAATCCAAAAAAAAAAGGGGATCTGTACACTTTGACAATTTTCATTTTTATATAAAGACCATCAACTCCCTAAGGCCATAATGAAAGGAATACCAGATTACGCTATTTACTTAACTGACAGCTCTGCAACAGTGCTGTTTCCACGTGTTCATGTACTGGAAAAGAGACAAAAGGTAACTCGAAGCTGGTCAACATAACACTTAAATAACTGTCGACAAAGGGGTAAATCACAAATTTTAATTTAATACGGTCCCCCTTTTTTCCCCCTTCTAGGTAACTATTAGTATAATATTTCTTTTCCACTGAAGAGATTATACTGTGCAAATGCAATTTCAGCACTGAAATTCGACTTCAAATCACAATTTTTTTATGCTGAACTTTGAGCAACCATGCCGATCCGTCAATAAGTCAAATAACATAGTAATCAGTAAACCTGAACCTGTCAGAATCTTTTAAGTCTCACAGCCAATTTTCAGTAGTGGGGGAGGGAGAGGGTTGGAGGAAAGTGTGTCTAATCTCTTTGTGATATTTGTGCTCATATAATACATCAGAAACTATTGCAAGTAGTTAGAGACATGAACAACGAGTGTACATTATATATCTATATTGCATTGCAAGCCTGCATTAGTAGAGACATTTTTCTGAGGTGGGATTCACTCCAAATGACTAAAGAGCTCAGACATTTGTCTATACAACACTAAACCACCCACCAACATTTAGTTATCATATAATATATATTCAATATATAAATATATATATATATATAATATATAAACATATATAAATGTAGTAAAAATCTCCAGGTAAACGACATACACACTATATCAAAGACACTACAGATTTGTACAGCTATTGAAAAAATTACATCATGCTCAGCACACCCGAAACAGATTGGGAAACACCTGTACCCACCAAAAAAAATGAGGACAGACAGCAAGTCGGTGAATTTCTCTCCGTTTGCACAAGTTTTGACGAGACCGACCAACAACATAAAGCACCAGTTGTGTCAGACCTGATCACTGCAGAAAGCTCTTTTTACAAAGACACCCTTCAACCACCTCTAACGAAAGCACCCTTAGACCTCTCAAAGAGATGCCCTGCGACCTCTCACAAAGGCGCCCTTCGAATAAGTCCATTTCCACGGGTCTGTTTCCACCAATCTGCCCAGCCCATGGGCCATTAAAAAAAAAACAAAAAAAACAGCAACGACAAAAAAAATTTTTTAAATCGATCAATATGAAAACAAGATGAACCAGTTGGCAAGTGAGAATAAACAATCAATAGAAATTTTGAAAAATGATTGTCATTGAATTAAACAACAAAGATAAGACATACTCCGACCCTATACGAGGTCAATCTAGCTCATCTGGAAGGCAAGGTTTCTCAAGGTAGGGTCACATACAACAAATACACAGACTCGCCTCGTCTCACGGCCGATCAAACTGAGGCCAAGTCTCAGAGAATGAATACAGCCAAACTGAATGAAAGAGCTATTTCAGTTCGTTTTTTTAGACTGCCTTTCAAGTATAACATTTCACAGCTCATTGATCTCTTTCTCAGAAAAATGTGTAAACCCCATAAAATATAATATCAACACGGAAAACTAGAATTTTCAAGAAACGAAACAACATTTTGACAGATTACAGAACATTTAACATCAGATACATGGGTAGGCGCAACTACAAAAAAATGAGTGTGAGTGAAAAGAAAGAAGAAAACAACACAGCAACATTAGCTCTGAAACTCTTCCCCTGCAGTGTGTTAACACATCAGCATCCATAACAGGCACAGGAGCACAGAGCGTCGATAAACTGGCTTTGCTTAGCGCCACATTTATTTAGTTTCAAACTTTGTTAACCCTATAACCCTATATTTATCTTACTTTTGTTAGTTTGAGTAAAGAGAAGCATATTGACACAATAAAGGTAATTTAACCCTACACTTATTTCCCATTTATATGTTAGTTGGAGTAAAGAGAAGCATATTGACAATAACAGTTAAATAGTGTAGGGAAAAAGCAATATAGATAAACAGAAACAACAGAGGGGAAAGAAAAGAAGCAGGGACCTACCACGGGCGCCCTCCAACCACCCACTCCCATTTGTAAGATTATATAAAACTAAAGCATTTAATAAAATTAACTATGAAGAACATCATCAACAGTTTCACGCTCGTTAGAGTTCTTGACTTGAATGAAACATTGTGCTTAGGTGCTTCCTTCCCTCTTCAAGGTTTAACCACGTTAGACATGAACTTAGTCACTGGCATAGCATCATCATCAACAAAAAAGATACCGTTGACACCCCTACAAATAAAAAAATAAAACACGCACATAAAAAAATATTTTTAAAAACCCTAGTGTACAATCCACAATCAAATTGACTTAGCATCAACGGAGGGGAAATTGTTGACACCCCTCTTATAAAAAAAAAGAAAAATTTTAACATGCGAAAAAACTCAACAACCCGGAACAACAAAAAACGAGAAAAAAAAAAAGGTGTCAATGTACAAACCACAATCAGATGACAAAAACAGATGATTATATATTTGTGCACACAGTGGGAAACCAGCTCCCTATGAAGGTTTGGGGGAGGGTAGAGGGAGAAAAGGGGGGGGGGGGAGGAAGAGAAAGAAGGGGGGGGGGGGTGTCTGTCAAATTCAAACTTCTGTTTATGTAAATTTTTTTTCAAAAAAAGAATCTACGTAATTTCAACAAAATATAGCATGGGCAAAATCAAACATGTCAGCACAAAGCTATTGCAGTGATCCCTGGCATAATTTATATAAAGTGAAACTACAAAGTGACAAACTGATAATAACCAACTAAGCACCTTTGTTGTGAATTTGAAAAACTGACCTCTTTCCCCCCATAACATAACAGTAGAGTATAAAAAAATAAACTAACTTGCTTTTTCCGCATTGGTAAAAAAAAAAAGAAAGACAAATAACGAGTTTTACACATATTTTAAAAAAATAAAGACAGTGGAACTAAGTAAGTAAATATCAAGACTAAAGTCAAATTTCACAAAAATCACACTTTCTAGAATTTACAATGGCATTGTACAGCTCTTACTCAGCCTTGTTCTATGCAAAATCAATCAAATATATTGTACATTATATTTTTTTAAAAGGCGCCAACTCTCCGAACAGGTGAACTACGCTGAAGAGCGATCCGAGTAGAAAGTAATGCAGTATAAATTCAATAGACATCCAACAACAACAACAACAGAAAATGGACTAGAGTTGTTGTCACTGGCCAACGGGTATGTTCTAGGAAGACCAACTTTCATAGTTTGGTTTTTTTTGGCGTCGGCATCTTCTCTACAACATTTATAGCCATTTACAACAATAAAGAGGAACACAGAGTGGTACCCAACACCCATTGCGTTTTTTGACCATCAACAAATTCTTTTCCTTGCTGCTCTCTCTTTCTCTCTCTCTCTCTCTCTCTCCACACACACAAACACACACACATGTGATGCTTTTTATAGAAACGGCTATGACTTTAACACAGTCTATTTTGCTGGTACTTAACTCCCCCACAGCCAAACACACATATACAGACAGAAAATGAGAAGGCAGCCATTGTCATACACTTGCACAAACTGTTCAGAGCGATCCCATGGAAGCCAGAGATATATTCTTATCAGTGTACAAGCTTAAGCCTGGAACTGCATTGAGCAGTTTAAGTAATCCTTATAGTAATCAATCTTTGATGAGCAATGCTTTCCCCCTCAGGCACCTTCTGTCTGCCTTCGCGATTCTGAAAACAAAACAGCGGAGGGTCGGGTCACATTTCCCCTCAGCACCTGATTGCCAACACATTTTTACATCCGCTATTTATAACCTCTTAATCCCGTTCAGGGAAAACCGAGGCGTGAAGTGCATGAAAGAACCACTTGTAGAGACAGAGAGAAAGTGATACAGCGACACACAACATCACGGGGAATAATCATAATGCTTTCCTCTTCCTCTAAACTGAATCACAACAGGGGGTGGGGGGGTGGAGGAGGGGCATCATGAATGGGTTGTCACACGCTGGACTTCTTCCCCGACCGCCGTCCCGTCTTTCGCTTGTCCTTGCCCTGGTCATAATCTCGCCGAGACCGCAGGATAAATTTCAAGTCCACAGAGTTGTTGAGAGCGTAGAAGACATTGGCGCGCTCGGGGATCAGAAGCTCTGAAATAACACAATATAAAACAAAACTAGCTACAGAACACAGTGTTTGACCACTAACAAATAGAAGAAGCTACCAAAAAAAATTACTACTTTTTTACAGTATATATACTGGTGATCAAAAGGTACCACTTTTTAATTTAATTTTTAAAAATCTAGTCTTTTTAAGTCTTTATTCTCCTCCTTTCTTTTGAGTTATATTTAGTAGTCTAAAAAATAGGTCACGTTACGAAAATAATATTTTGGTGCGTCAATTAGTGTTCACAGCACCAACACTTTAAAAAAGAAAATTTGCATTTTTTCCCCCAATCTGGAACAGTCAGAAACATTCTCAGCTTTCAGGGAAGCATGCAGTGCAAGCTGCAGATTACACATGCTAAAATAACAAACTGACAAGATCTCTCAGTCTTTACACAGGTACCATTCCCACCTGGATGGGAGCTTTTAAATGTCCAAAATGTGGCAAACTTTTCTCTGACAGAATTCGTCATTTGAACCTCTTAATTCGTCTAACTCTTCTATTGCACTGGAGAAATATTCTCCTCTGCAGATGTTTTGGTCATCATCAGAATTGACAGACAAGCTATTGTTATCATTGTTCCCACATGGGTGAGGAGAGGAAAATATGCAAAAAGTGCCTTTTCCAAGAGTCGGATTTAAACACAACCTTACTAATGAGAGTCCAAGATTTGTTTTAGTAGAGATTTTACAGCACTCGAAACTGCATAAGGTCATATGAGTGCCAGAGGATTAGAGGTGTTACAAGAGAGTAACAAACATAAAAAAGAAGAAGGGGAGATGAGGGCGATAGATGTTTGATAGGAAAGAAGCAAACCACACCAAGTCACTAGCCAACCACCCACTGGACAGACAGACAGACAGACAGACAGACAGACAACAGACAACAGACTGACCTCCGTCGGGCAAGAGCTGAAGCAGACAGAATTGGTCGGGCCGGCCATCCACCCCATACTTCTCCAGGATCTTCTCAATCACCACCTGCGTGTGGTCACTGTTCATCAGCTGAAATGGACAAAACAGCAGAAACCACACTCCATGAGCAGAACCTCAGGAAGAAATGGGACTTTTGACATTTGACGTTTACAACACCTGCTTTATTATCCTTTCACTGTGACCTGATGAGCACTAATCTCATAAGTTTCACAAGTTACTTATGAAGAAAGATCTACAACATGCTAGACGTTTCGCAAATATAGGTCACAAATGGGTTTGTTTGTTTTGGTACGCATTTTATGGCACTTGCAACACAATTAGGACACATGAATGCCAAAAATTAGAGGTACTACAAGAGAGCGACAAACACAAAAAAGAATTAGAGAATAGGACAATAGGTGTTCGATAGGAAAGAAGGACTAAACCACACAAGAGCACCTGCCAACCACCTGCTTTGAAAACTCCGAAAAACAATCTGTATACAAGAATCTCCATTGGGATAAAAATTTTGGCTACATGCACTGCAGCGCAAAGTATGCAGTTTTATACAATTTTAAATAAATATACACTTGCATACTTTTAAAAAAATGTAGAGTTGAACCAAAAGCAGGAGAAAAGTGATGTTCTTGACTCTTGTGTCAAGTTTTTTAGTTTTAGTAAAAGTTTTATGGCACTTGCAACACAACAGAGTCATACAGATGCTGCAGATTAGAGGTGTTACAAAAGAGTAAGAAACACAAAACAGGAGGAGAGATCAGGTCAGTAGATGTTTGATAGGAAAGAAGGAGCAAACCACACCAGAGCATCCGCCAATCATCCACCGTGTCCAGTCTCCTCTATAAACCTTACATAGCTTTCGCACACAACACTGGGCAGCGTGCATTCCACATCGGCTAACACAGACAGTACATCACATAAAAGCTTACTGACAGTCAGTGTTTAACACCCCTTTCAAAACTGTTAGGTTTTTAAACAGGCGCAACCTCCCGATTTAACGTCCATCTCAGACAGAACTAAGTCAAATAGGTGGAGAGCCTTCAAAACTCCCCAAAACAATCCAAGATCTGAATGCCTCGTTCCGGGAATCGAACCAGAACCTTCCACTACTTCGTCCAGCATGATACATATTGAACTAATGGTGTGCACTACCCTTACTAAGACAATCATTACAAATTGTTGGTAAACAAAAGGTACCAAAGAACGTTCAAAGGCGCAACAATAACAACAGGGATGGATATAAAAATGTATTCGAGCATGTGGATTACCCAAAGAGAGACAAAGAACTAACAAAGGAAAAGACGAGTAAATGAAACAAAAACTGACACAATAACTGTTATACAGTGTTGACAACAAAGCAAGACACACAGTAAAACCAAAGCAGAGCACTTAAAAAAAATTAAGACTGACCATTGGTTCCCTCCACCCACCTACCTACCCCACAATGGGCTAATTCAAATTCAAATCTGAAAGAACTTGTGACCTATCTCCGCCATAACGCGGGACTCACCATAATGCTTTTGTACACATGAGTCGTGTCATTCTGGCCCGTCTCCATGGAAACTTTGATGACATAGGAATCGGATGACTTGAAGGGCGTGTGTGTTGAGGGGGTGTCGCTGTCCGAGGATATCACAGATGACGTTGATGATGAGTGGGACAGCTGAGGAAGAGACTGAGGATTTTACACACCTTCTTTAGAGCAATTATGACTTGCGGACTCTAAAAGATAATAATAATAATAGATTGCATTTATATAGCGCTCTATCCCATACGAAAATAAGCTCTGAGCTCTTTACATCAATCACATGATCACTGAGCTAAATACTGCATTCAAACAAGATAATAATTAATTATATAAACGCAAGGACAGTAGTAAAAACAAAACAAGTCAGCACTTACTAACAAGCTACAACTAAGAAAGAAGATCTCTTCCTTGTTCCCTTTACCCTTCTATTATCTCCATATACACAGTTTGTCAATATTTCCTGATACACACATACCCATACACAACACCAACAATAGATTGTCAATATTTCGTACCCCCATCAACATAATTTACATGACTTACGAGGTGGAGGCAGACTGCTTTGACCTAGTCTATCAGGGCCAAGCCAGGCGGAGTAGGAAACAGCATGCGAGCAGTAAAGTGAAAACACTCGCTAACATAGACTTCCCCTTGAGGAAATCGAACTCACATTCTCTGCGTGCAAGAGCGGAGAAACTATCCACTGCACCACATACCCCAAAGCCACACGCATACAAACACAACATAATTAACTTAATAGTACTGTCAGCCTCAGTTGTGGCAGTTCCCAAAATAGATGAGAATAGGGCTGGCAAATGATGCTAGCGTGTCGTATGAGGCGGCTACACGGCACATAAGGTTGTGGCTGCTCAAAATGAGTCATCAAGCCCTCCAGGTTGGGGGTTGGGTCGGGGCATGGGGTCAACACCTCCCCTCATAAAAGGGCAAAATGTTGCAGAAACACAGAACGGAGAAAACTATCTTTACTTGTAAAGAGACAATGGAGCTGCTTCACGTTTTAGGGAGGCTTTTATTTTAATGTAGTTTTTTTTATGCTTCCGTTGACACAATTTCGATCATTTAGCAAGCAGGGTCGGAAGTCCTTCATCGTTATGGCCAACCCAGGCTGAAAGGGATACATCCCAGCAGAAAAAACAAAATACTCAATAAAAATTTTCTCCCACCCCGGAATCGAACTCGGGTCTCCAGCGTGTGACAGCAAACCACCTATCCACTACAACACAAACACCCCTATAGGAAAACTTGCCCGAGACAGAAAAGGAAGGAGATTACTTGTTTGTGGCCTATGAGTTGCCGAGAGTGAAAGACATTGATGATGACAACAGTCAACTCACCAGAGGTCCTATAGAGGCGGCAATGGTGTCCGGGATGCTGGCGATACTGTTCCTGTCCTCCGAGCCACACGAGAACAGCCCCAGTTTGGAATTGTCGATCTTGGAAGGCTTGTTCCCCAGGCTGCATAAAGACAAGAGTGAGAGGAATGTTCAGTACCAGGTTGTTTCCTACGACCCTCAGGTGTGGCACCCGTGTCATAGTTCATGGTAATTCAGTATGATAGTGGGTGACCACACATTTAACAAGGCAAAGATATGGACAACATCAACTCTGAAACGACGTAAATGAAGCACTCATCAATGCACCAGCTGCATAGCAAAAGAAGACTACAATCATAACAATACTTATAAAAAACTAACTCTTGTGCCCAGCTACAAAAAATAGAGGTAATCTCTAAAGCTGAACACTGCAAATCTTGTCATGACATTCCATTAGAGAAACCAAGCCAGAAGAGGCATGAGAAATTCAGACCTCACTCAGATTCAAACTTCTGGCCTCGAATTGTTGATAAAGTTCACCTTTGCCATAGCTAAAGAATATTTTGTGGTAACGAAAAGAAGGATGAAAATAACAGATATGTACAACAGAGATTTTAGGAAAAATCCCCAACAGTCACACACCTTATATCCCCTACTCTACTACCCTTCTTGCATTGGGGACAAAGCATGAAAAAACTTTGTAAACAAATGAAAAACCATGGCTTGAGTTGTAGTTAAGGACGAGAAAACATGACAACTGTCGTATAAATTTTACAAGTAACATACTGGCATAATTACAAATGATTTATGACCCCGTCGATATAAACTGGATGGTTTAGAAGAAGGCTGCGTTCACCCTGCTTTTCAGGTGCAGCACTGGCCATGTGGAGCACTTCTTCCCAACATGGAGACAGAAACAGTCATTGAAATAGCTCTCCCCCATGGCAAACCAACTCACTTGTTTCTAAGGTACAAGGTGAAAACCTTTCAACTCAAACTATGATTGGAACAAATGAGGCCATAATAAACAACATAACAAGAACAAAAAGGAGCAGACCACACCAAAGCACCAACCAACCGCACCACAAAAAAAAGCTTAGTATTTGGACAAGTAACAAAAATAAACAACTGGTAATTCTATGAGTTTAACACCCGCGTTCAGCACTGTGGGGTAAGTCAAGAGGTAAGACCACCACATTTAACATTCATCTCTCCAACAAGACTTTGCAAAAAGGGTGGAGAGCCTTAAGAAACTCATAAAAATATCTATGTTCAAGAATGTTCAACTGGAGACACCCAGACCACGGCTATCACCACCAAAGCCCTGTGTGATATCAAGTGAGCGAAATGCATGCCGCAAAGCGAATGAGCATGTAAAATGTCTGACATGACTTTGTGTTTCTGAGTCTACAAGGATTAGACCGATGACAATTATGTTGGATCCGAGTTAATTGGACTACTCTAAAGCAACAAGAAATAAGAAAAGACAGTAGCACAATCCATCAGCTCTACTCATCAACTACACACTGCAGAGTATGACTGATTGTTGTACTTGCAAATGTTTTAGCAATGTTCCCCCTATCAACAAATTTAAGATCATGAAGGAGGTGGTGGGCAGTTGCAGCCCTGCTTGTCAGGGACAACCCTATCTGAGTGAGATACAACATTCCTGCAGAAACAGATACTCTATGACACAGATTTTTGTTTGTCTGTGTCCCGATTTTGGTGCCGATATTTGTAAGTTATGTAAAATGGAGCCAACATTGTACAGTTTGTTATGATATGACACAGGTCTGCCCACAACTAGGAAATCGGACTCATGCGTATTGTGTTCAAAGAGTCTAACTATTACACCACAGACGCCCAGTGAAAGATTATTTGAGCAGGTATACACACATGCACGTATGCATGCTCGCACGCATTCATGCATGCACACACACATACACACGCACGCATGCACACACATGAATAAGGGCTTTTGGACATAACGGTTGCATCACAGTGTTATTGTGATATTTATTTGTATGTTTCTCATTCTCTAAAGATATTTATTCTAGATATGAGAAATCTATCTTTCTTACTATTTGCTTTGTTGCCCTGATTGTAGAGATCAGCTTCAGTAGACAAAAGCCTGATGAGAACTTTGACAACTTTGTATTCCGAATGAGCATAACATGTCAATGAATGGAGTCAATGTGTAGTTTGTGTTGAATCTGCAAGGTTAAGACAATGGCCACACTTCTCGTGGGAACAAACTAAAAAAACAAGACAACCTTTACACAGAAAGTCAGTAAATTAACAAATTACACTAGAACATCCCAAAATCCCCTTGTCAGTGAAGTGTTGCACTATGAGTCTAAACAGGCCGATCTTACCTGTATGACTTATACATCTATGCATTTTGCTTACGACCCAGAAGCAACGTAAACCCATGGTGTCATGTACTTTTTGAGTTGTGAGGAGCTTTAGAGAAATATATCAACATATTGGCCATGTTGTTGTAAGATACATGTATACAGAAACAATTACAGGACAGTAAAGAAGAGGTACCTGCTTAGGATGCCCACTAGCCAGCCATACTAAGGAGCAATTACTAAAGGAGAGACACATAACCACAACAACGCCCATATAATGCCAGGAAAAGGCAAGACAGACAGACAGACAGACAGACAGACAGACAGACAGACAGACAGACAGACAGAATAGTGAAGAAGTAGGACAGACACGACTTGTGGCACCCTCAAACCTAACCACTAGCTCAGATTAAACAAATTTCTTGAGGATGAACTACACAGTTTATACAATCTTATTATCTCCAATGCATAGTAGACAGAAAATGAGCGCACTACACAAGAAAATGAACATTTTATATGTCACATGAGATCATGCTCTCATTCACACGTACAGGCACAACAGTAGCAAAACCTGCGAAAGAGAAATAAAAATAGAAGAGAAACCCAGGAGGATATGTGTGAGGAGGTACATGAAAAGAAACTTAAAAGGGTTAATGAGCACAGTGCAAGCTGAAACAATTTAATTAGGGAAAAAATATATTGCATTACGAAAAAACAAAGCAAAGAATTTGATACACGACCCAAAATATTCACAGTTGCAAACGCCAGGGTTTATCAAATATACAAAGGAGTTTGCTATGTTCTATAGTATTCACAATGGTGTATGTATGCTATGTTTTATGGTACTCAAAATGGTGTGCACTTTGTTCTATGGAATTCTCAATTGTGTAAGCTATGCTTTACAGTACTAACAATGGTGTGAACTATGTTTTATGGAGAGACCACTCAGTAAGCTTATGAATAGCGCCTTGTCAGCAGGGGAGCTCAGGCCCTGCTATTGCGTCATCAGGCTGGGAAAATCATGCTCTGGAAAAAGTGAAAGGAGATGGAGAAAGAAAGAACAAAATGGGGTATCAAAAGAAGAGACATAGACATAAAAATGGGACAGGGAGGGAAAAAAAAAAATGTCTTAGGCACAGATATAGTCAAAATAACAATTGGCCTAGCAGTTGGATATTTTATGGGTCCTTTTCTGGGCGGTCTCTGTGGTGTGAGTGTGAGTGTGAGTGTGCGTGTGAGGAAGAACTTGAGGCATGAAGTCAATTCCCACTAAGTGAAAGTTGTGGAAAGTGCTATGAGCCAAGTCAAAATGAAATTGAAATTTAAAAAAAAACCCACAAAATTCATTTGCATGTGACTTACAAGACACCTTACTCACACCATCATTATTCTACAGTCTACAAATACCACATTGAAGGTCAAAATGATCTCAGGGAAATATGAAGCACTCCGATGACCCACCGACGATAGCAATGTAGCCTAGTGCAGCACCTTTTATGAGGCGGCAAAGCATACCAACACTACGCACAGGAAAAAATTGTTAACTATGTGACGCACTTCACAAACTATATTAGGAAACAGCACCTAAAAAACAGCACAGCAAGTGTTAGAGGTTACAACGCAGATAGTTATGGCGGAAGTGCCCAGAACAGAATATCACATAAATTCATCTGTAGAGAATCATTCAGAAAATAAATATGCAATCAGACAGATAAAATATTACACATTATGCGCAACTTTTTAAATCTCCAACAGGGCTTTATGTAGGTTTTGGGACAATAAGACACCTTCAACGGTTTGCAAAATGACCAAATCAACTCCAGGACAGTGAACATGAATCGAACCTCCCATATATTTGAATTTGAAAAATAAATTAAAAATCATTTCACAGTTCAGCTCAAATATAAGAATTCTGGACGGACACATGACACTTCTTAGTTCAAATAGAAAAACATTAAGCACATTAAACCCCCACCTAAAATTCGCTTTTGGAGAATAACTAGACCTTAAAATGATTCAAGAGAAATATAAACTTAAACCATGGAGCTGTTTCAATTAATTATCTAACCGATAACATTTTGAAATATGGGTCACCAAGGGCCTTAAATGCATGGCAGAAGATTTAAGTGAAAGGTTACGCTTGGCAGCATACATTATATCAAAAGGAAACAACAAAAAAAGCTACATGATAGAAAAAGGGTGTTCAGAATTGGCGACGGGTATATGGAAAGGGTGAGAGCTAAAGCAACTAAGCAGCTATGGCGGCGGCAGCAGCCCTAAAAAGAAAAAGAAAGAAAAGGTGGGAGGGGAAAAAAGAGTGACAAATTGAGTGGCAGCTAACACTCTTCAAGGGCTAGCACAAGAAGATAAAACAAAAAAAGATGAGTGTAAAACCCAGCACATCTCACTCACCACTCCGCAGGGGGAGGCTCGTAGGGCGGTGCAGCTGGGCTCTTCGGGCTACGAGAAATGTTCGGTTCTGAGAACCTGGACTTACAGGCAAAACATGCATACAACTTAGCTGCCGAGACTCTCCGGCGAAAGGGCGGTCCATTGAGGCTGCAGGGAACATGCAATAGGTGGGAGTAAGAGGGAGGGGAGGAGGGAGCGGGGGAGAGAGAGAGAGAGAGAGAGAGAGAGGGAGGGGTGTAGAAATCACACGCATGAATGACAATCACGTTGAACAAAATTCCCTTATTTTTCCGCTGGAGTCAAAACAAGCTGGCACCAAACCGATTTTGCTCTCTATCACTATTGATTAGAGAGCCAGAGTTAGCAAATTGTCGGCTACAAAGTTTTTGACAAGCGAAGCCACTTTTGTTTCATTACCAGAGGTCTATGAGTTTTCGCTTCAAAACTATTATACCAACCCTATCAGCGGCTGAGTTTAGTGAAACGACTAAGAAGAGAGCAAGCAGCATGATACCGAAACTGACTGTACTCTTACAAGATTTGTTATAAAATCCCCTACAAAAAACATAGAAAACAGATCTGAGAGGGGAAAAAATATCACTTAACTTGTCCTGCCCGGACATTGAGCACCCATTTCCCACAAAAGATATGACAACGAATTATTTTACGACATCAGTAAGATATGGCTCAATGCTTTGCTGCCAGACGTATCTTAACTTTTAAGACAGAAAATTTGCCCTATAAAAGTAACGCTTGAATTCCAGTTGGGGTTGACTTTCCTACCAAAGCAAACATGTTCATTTCTCCACCAGTACGTACACAGCATAAATTCCTGAACACAAACCTAATCTCGATATTGGCGTAGAAACCACTCTTAGGGTTACTGTAAATTTCAATCTAAAGATGTAAGCCTCATTTTGAAAGCTTGCACAAGACATTTAAATTAAGGTCAGAACCGAGACAAACACACTGCTTCACTACTCATGCCAGCATCATTCGAGTGTGTTCAGTACACAGAACTGAAAACAAATTTGACTTTGAGATATGAGATTGTGGGCAGTACCAAACCTTCCCCCCCCCCCCCCCCCCCCAAATAACTGTATCTTAAGACTCGGAATTTAGCTTTAGGATTTTATTACAAAAGAGTAAAATCGTCCGTCTTAAATCAGTCTTAAAAATAAAGAAAACTAAATTGACAGAACAAGCAGGACGCAAGGTCACAACAAGTGGCGAGCAGCAAAATGAGCTTGCAAAAGTGTGGACACTGAAACAGTTTAGAAATCTAGTAGCAACACAGGCCCTAAATATTAACTAAACCATACAAATTTCAGTGCATGAAACTACAGGAGTTTATAGCTGTGAAATTCCTTTATAATAGAAATAGCTCGCGTGATGTGAGAGAGAGAGATGCATACACATAGAGGGCGAAAAAAGCATCAGTTAACAGTGACTCAGGATGAGAACCATCACATTTTGCAATGGAACATTCAAGATAATAATCAACATTACTAAAAGTTAAAGGAGGGAGGGAGGGAAATGAACACACAAGAGCACCCACCAGCCACCCTGTGCTTGAATTTTGGTTGTGTCCATGCGTTTGAATGGAAGGAGGGAGGGGGGGAGAAGAGAGCGAGATCAAGAGCTAGAGAGAGTGTGAGAAAAAAGGCGAGAGAGAGAGAAAGACAGAGAGAGAGAGAGAGAGAAAGACAGAGAGAGAGAGAAAGAGTGAAAGAGAGAGAGAGAGAGAGAGAGAGAGAGAGAGAGAGAGCGAGAGAGAGAGAGAGAGAGAGAGAGAGAGAGAGAGAGAGAGAGAGAGAGAGAGAGAGAGAGAGAGAGAGAGAGAGAGAGAGAGAGAGAGAGAGAAGCAAACTGGAATGCAAAATATACCACATTTTCAAACAGGACAGCCAGAGTTTAAACATTTCCAAAGTAACACTGAGCATTGTTTGATACAATTTTATACTAAATAAAAAGTCACAAAGAGTGTAGGATATTGAAAATACTTAAACAGAGCAAAAAAAACAGATTAGTAACCATAACAAGCATTCCTCCAAAAAGTATTAGAAAAAACTTTTAGTAATTATGCCTTCAGATTTTTTTCAAAAACATGCGAAGGTATATTTTTAAAAATGTTTGTAGTAATTATACCAATTAATTTCTTAAAAGCCATGCATACATAACGAACCTTGGGGCCATTTTTTCCCACATGATATGTTTATAAATATTTATTGACAAGCCTATTAAACGATGAGTCACAGTCTTGAGAAGGATAAACAAGTCCAGGATAAACCCGCACAAAGGGAACAACTGGAGCCAACAAACACATCTAAAACAACGCTGAGCCAGAGACAGAAATATGTGGACAAAATTTCAATCCTCACAAAAATCACAAAGGCAAATGAGAAAAAGGGAAGCTGTGGGAAGTGGAATGGGGGGGCGGAGAAAACAATACTAGGGGTGCCACCAAACGTATCAGATCTTGCCATTACGAGGTAAATTTTTACTCAGCAGGTCATACAATAGGTCAATATGCCAACCATCTCATTTCCCCAGGTATGGATTAGATAGGATAAAATATATTTTACTGACCCTGCACTGGAAGAAATTAACAGTCAGGATATGAGGACGAAAGCAACATTGAAAAGAAATAGAAAAGGCAGACCTCATCACAGCACCCACAAACTAACTTCTTTTGGAAATAGAAACCTTGACACCATGTACGAAGAATGACTTATTGCTTTATGGTCTCCAGGATGTAAGCATGATAATTAGTTCTAGTTAACTAAAAGTGGACCGACTGTTTAAAAAAAGAGATGTACACTTAAATGGGCTTCCTAGAAAGTATCAGACAGCCAAAAAATGAGCTGCTGACATCACATACTAAAAAAAAATTATTTTTTTTAAACTTGGCGAAAACTCTTATGAAATAATCTACCAAATTATAGTTGAGCTTCCAAAAATATCTAGATACTATATGACACCCCTACTTATTTTAGGCAAGATGGATCTTGAGCAGGAAGCTATGCCATATTAGGATGGACATTTTGAAAAGGTTTTGAATAAAGGGAAATTCTGGAACTGGGGCAAGGGGCGGAGGGGAGGTAGGGTAGAAGGAGGAGTACTGAAGTTGTTTATGGGAAAATCTCGACAAGGACATCTGAGGTATTTTTCAAATCGACTCCTCCGCAGAGCATCAAGGATGCACTCACAGTCACTGTTGCGAACACGGTGAAAATCTTAAAAGTGGTCTGTTTGTGGGTCTCGTCTATACTTTTATAATACACATAGTACATGTTTTGTGTTTTTTGTAGAAGTGGAATGAAACTCAAAACCTACCTGCTATTTTACTGACGCAGGGTTTTTTGTTTTTGTTTTTTGGGGGGCTTGTTTTTTGGGGGGCTTGTTTTTTGGGGGTTTGTTTTTTTTAGGACGAACTAAGATGTACAATTCACACCCAGTAGGAAACATCTGTCTGTGCTCCAAACACACACCTCAAAGTATGCTGGTGTATCTCTAGAGAGTCAATGCACAAGTGCTCAGGCAAACAGGCCCGACAGCAGCCGAGGGTAGAGTTTAACAACTAACCGCCACACTTATACTTCTCCATATTTCACGTTATTTTGTTTGGTAAGAGTAAAAAATATTCGCAAAATAAGTTACTAAATAGTAGGACCAAAGAATGAACTTCAAACACAAAACCAGAAATAAGGACAGCCCCAGCCCCCTGAAAAAAAATGAAGAAGTCAACTCAGCACCCCCTGTCCATCAGTCAGTCTGACTGCCAGCCCAGCTCATGCATTACCTTGCAGACTTTTTCTTGATCTTGGCCGAACTCTCAGAAGGCGGCTCCAGTGAACAGGAGAGCTCATGACTGAAATGAATTACAAAAAACCCAAATAAGAACTTCCGTCAAATTTTTTTTAAACAGTTTTATGTAACAACAGTTTGTCATTCAATGTCCAACGATGACCAAGTTTCAAGTACCTACAATCTGGATACTGGATGCTACATATTAGTTTCATTGCATACGTGCCACTCTCTCATAAAGACAATCTGGATTAATTTAGTTTTTCAGCACTTGCAACACAATAAGTTTATATAAGTGCCGAAGATTAGAGGTGTTACAAGAGAGTTACAAACACAAAATGGAAGGAGGCGAGACAAGGATGACATATGTTTGATAGAAAAGAAGGAGCAAGCCACCCCAGAGCACCCTCTAAAAATCTGAATCATATAGGACAAGAGCTGCTTTGACTCTGATTGTAAGGAGCTACCCAAGATGCAGGGGCTTGATCCCAACAGAAAGTCTGAGATTTACGATATAACAATACCTTTCCTCAATAGGAATCAAACTCGTTTTAGTTTTAGTAAGAGTTTAACTGCACTTGCAAAACAATATGGTCATATAAGTGTCAGATCAAACTCGTAAATTCTGCACTTTTGTTAATTCTGTTAAGAGTTTTACTGCACTTGCAACGCAAATAGGTTTTATAAGTTCCAAGGATTAGAGGTGTTACTAAAAAGTAACATACAAAGAAAAGGAGGAGAGATAAGGATGATAGATGTTCGATAGGAAAGAAGGAGCAAACCACACCAGAGCGCCCGCCAACCACCCACCCACGCATATTTTACATGCAAGAGCTCGATCTGGACAAGCACAATTATGTGTTACATTGACCTCACCTCTGCTACGGCTAATGAAGTCTTTCTTCCCCCCTCCCCTCAAACGCACTCACCTTTCGGTATCAGAATACGTCCTGATGGAGTTGAACCACCTCCAAAAGCGCTCATCCTCCGAGATGTTATAAATAGAAGCTGCCACCTGAAGCAACTTGATCTGTGCGATGACCTCAAACTCTTTCCGTCGCTTCTCAAAGTTGATGAGGCCCTCCTCTGTCGTGTCCGGGCACGCCGAGTCAATCATGGTCAGGTCTGTGAGGAACGTGCCCAAATAAGGCACTGTGCCTTGAACTATACCCTGGAACCCACAGAAAGAGACATGTTCAGGAACTTAACGCAAGGTTGTGTGTCAACTCCACTGCAGCAATGTAAAGAACATGACTGACTCAAGGCCAACATTGAAACAAAAGTATGAGAGGAAAAGAAAAGTATGAAGGAAAAACAAATGTGACTTTGCAGTATCTCCCTTGACAGGTCGGTTCACTCAGTCACTTCAACCTCAGATCGTCCTTTTTGTTGCGACAAAAAAAACCTGAGTCATTGCTATATGCTATGTTTTTTTATTTACCATGTATGGTAGAGTAATAAATTAATCATTCATTTTTCTTTCCACTAGCATGACACACTGGCCATAAAGTTTTGGTGACATGAACTTAAGGGATTCAAGGGGATCAAGGACTGGTGATGGGTCTCATTTAAATATTGAGAAATGCCTAAGCGTCTCAAACAGCTTCTCCCAATCCAGCCAACCGTACCTGCCCGTGGTGGTCCCTGTTTCCACTGACACGGCTCTGGCCAATGGCGAGTTGTCGGCCCTAACAAACCAACCCCCCCGTTTCATAAAGGAGTTAAAACAACAGGATGGGAGCAGGTGTGGCCCCACAAGGTGCAGCAGAACCCACTGATGTGTGGTAGACGCTATGCTCCTCACTAACACACTCCTACTCTCCCTTGAGTGGGTGTCTAATCTACCTAACACCTCTACTGCTTTTTATCAACACACCCTCTGTGGCTGAGAAGGTACCAGCCAGTTTGAGAGTGTCTGGGTGCAGGGGATGGACCGAACGGAATGCCTGACTTGCTTTCTGACCGTGGACCTCTTAGTAAAGGCACAATGACCCAGGACGTGACGATCCAATGGCTTTCCCACTTGGCCAATACCTCATGAAAGATTAGAAAACTTTAGCCAGTAGCCATTGGTGGCGGGGAATGGGCAACATGAACCCTACCGGAATTACACGGTCACAGGGCAGTTAGGTCTTTCCAGTCTCATGAAAACCCCTTGTACCCTCCTATCCTCAACATGAATGGCCCCTTCTCAGGGTGGGCAGGCAGTCCACAGACACCCCAGTCCACAACAAGAGATTCAAAGTTTTTACATCAAGAGAGGTTCTAACTGTACAGTCCATGCAACATTTGTTTAGAGTCTATCTACTCCAGAGTGCTGGGATGGGAATAAATTTTCTGAAAAAGATTAGAAAAAATTATTATCCTCGTTATTTACAAACTTCAACTTTCAGCATATATGTCACTGTCACAGAAATCATCTGGAGTTAATACAGTCCTCTTCTCCCTTTCCAACTGAGCACAGCATTTCTTTTCAGGAACCCCCGGGAAAGAGATGTGTGCACAAAAGAAAGCATGAGGGGAGGGGGTGGGGGGGGTGAAGCTGAACAGCAATTGAAATGAATTAGCCTGAAAACCAATGTCATCCTTTCAATGACACAACACACAAACTTGCAGAGACAACTGAGCAGCCTCAGAACTTATGATGACAAAAATCTGAACTTACATTATCGATCCAAGAACGCCTCTTCTGAAGATTTTTCCTTTTCAGGGACTTGCTCTGGGAGTCCAAATCTGGGAATTTCGCAGTTGCCTCCTGGGAAATATTTTAATAACGAATGAAATTCATACCATTGTACTGCGCATCAACTGAGATTCATTCATGTTTTGACACTATCTTTAACGGAAATTGGGCTGAGGGTTGAAATTACACAAACCCAAGCTTCAAGTGATGAAAGCAATTAGATGTGTTTAGTTTCGGTAACTGACGGGAAAGAAAAAATGCCTCATTTTTCCAGTCAGTTATCGAAACTTGACATACCAGAGAATTTGCATAAAGTACTTTTTTAAATCAAATGACAGCATTTAATATGATTCTTAATCTGTCTTTCAAATGTTCTGATCATTTAAAGTTGAAATAAATTAATTGATATTGAATTACAGTGTTATCATTGTAAGAAAATAGTCTAAATATCCAGTCAGTTACTGTGGAATAGCCCCTATAAAGAGTAGAAAAAAGAAACATCTCTTTTTTTACCTTCATCAAAAGCTCCCTCGAATTCAGCTGGTTGTTCTCAACGGAGAAAATTTCACTGAGCTCTTCGAACAGTACCATGGAGTCCCTGCAATCATATTGACAATGTCATAGAAGGAAAATGTTGAACATAAACTTTTTTAATAATTTTTTTTTCTTTTATTCTGCTCAATTTAATGTGATGTTGAATATAATAAAATATGCCTTTGAATTCATCCTAGCATTTTTCCTGGAAATGACATACATTGTTGCAAGTTCATTGGTATTAAAATACCACAAAACAAAACTTACAGCACACTGCATAAGTGCAACTGCCTGGCCTGTTTTTTCAAGTTCATTATTGTCTCGTTAATTATACAGACGAAACCCACTCTAACGGCCATCTGTCGAAGACAATCATCTGTTCAAACCACCATTTCTCATTTCTCCACTTGCATTTTGTTACATCATAATCACTCTGTCCAAGATGTCTACCTCTCTAAGACAGCCACATCGCTCCCCGACAGTGGGCCGCAGTCTTGTACAATTTCAATTGCAAAATCCTCCAGCTCAAAAAGGTCATCATCCTTACTGGCCTGAACAAAACAACTAAGAGAAATAGGTCGGCACAACAATGTCCTCCCGTGTAAGGGAAAAAAAGATTATCAGACAGACAGAAACAACAGAGACACAATGTAGCAATGCCAATCGGGCTTTCCCGCGAGGCGAAAATTTGGTCCCCGTTTACGGGCGATTTTGCAGACCCGGCCGAAGCGTAGGTGACTAACTTTGTCAACCTCGGTCTACTCTATTTCCGAACCAATCCGAATGAAACTCGGCAACCAATCAGAAAATAGGGCAAACTAATGATATGTGGACGTTGAAGTTCGTACACATAAATTAACCTATACTTTTGGTGTCGGGAACACTTTCGTATCGTGTGCACCGAAAACTATAAGGAGTTTGAATTTCAACGCCCAGATGGTAATAGATCTATCTATCCTCTATAGTGTGCTCAAATTTGAGAGTTCTGTGTCAAGTAGTTGTTTAGACCCGATCGTAAATCTACGACTACCCCCCTATCCAAAGCGGCTTCGCACGGAGACCGGCCATTTTCCCCTCACTCTCGTGGCAAATGTATGTGACCTACAAATCCCCGCATGACTATTCCGGACCCGTTCATTGGTCACTTGAAATAGGGCAATGGCGGGCGCGCGCATCCGGTTGTTTTTCTCTCTATTCCCCTGTAACATCGCAATGGGGGTATTCCGAGGCGAGGTTATCTCGTCTCGGGGTGTTCGCGTCTCAACGGGGAAAAAGAATTTTTAATTGTACGGCATGCTAGATTGAATTAACTTATCTTTTACAGTTGGCATGGTCTAAAGTCATCATAAAAAGCTTTGCAATTATTTAGTCACGCTGCCGACATATATTCTGAAAGATCCCATGTTGTGATACGATGCTATAAATAAAATGGACTCATCCCGACACCCCTTTTTCGCAAAATCGTAATATGTACACCACAATTTTAATTATAACAAAATAACTACGAAATTGGTAGTAAATCTGACTGCAGAAATGATTTCTACACTCAAAAACACATCGGGTAGCCAAGTTTCTCTCGAACACTCGGATTAGTTACCGAGATATCGTCGATTTTCTTACAGAATCTGCTACTGCGTGGTCCACTTTTTAGGAGTATTTTCCTATATGTGGGTCATCCATATTTTGCCGACCTTTACAACCCCATAACTTTTTTATTTATGAACCGATTCTCAAAATTCAAGAAGCATGATTATTAGAATTGAAAATTCTTTCTTAGGTACCAAAAAAAAGGGGGCAAAAGTGAAAATTTAAATTTTCATTGGCATTGCTACACAATGCAGAATCAGCACCTGCCATCAGCATCCTAAAAATCCAGGCGATAGAGAGAGACCCGAACCCCCTTCTCATTACACTAGAATTGATCTTACTTGGAGAGAGCTGACCACGTCTTTCTTAGTCTGTACACAGCATGCGACTGAAGGCCGGTGATGATTGCTTTCAGAGAGGAAAAGTTCTTGAGCTCTCGTAGGTCCTGAGAAAGGCATAGCAACAAAAATTTTAGGCAACTTTATGAGAAAAATGTCCGACTGAAAGCACATTTTATTATGCACAAAACAATCTATAAAGACTACAAATTCAATAATTACACACCTTGTACTAAACCATATATTTCAGGTTTGTGCAATTCACAGGAACTAACTGTCTCGGCAGAATATTATAATATAAATATCTTCACCAAAAATAAATGGACCTGGCACTTATTATTTCACATTATCCAAGAGCCCATAAAATCAGAAAACTATAAGGACTTGAGTTTCCTATCACAAAAAGTAAGACCATTCTCACAGTTCACAGACAGCATTCTCCTGAACATAACAAAAAAAGAGAAAAAAAAAACAGGGGGAAAAAGTAGAAACCAAAGCAACAAAAAATCCTGAACATAGAAACAGAAGAAAAAGAGTACAGTAGTCTCCGCCTAAACGCACGCCATACAAAAGCATGCTCCGCTCAAACGCACGCTTTCGTCATCTGACGGGTTTTTTACTATATAATTTAGACGTACAAATGCACGGTCACTCCCTCTAAATGCACGGTCACTCCCTCTAAACGCACGCTCCAATCCGCGAAATACGCCGACAAGTTAAGCTTGGCAAGGGGAAATTTTCACTACAACCTGCACAGCCTGCATAAGACAAGCCTAGAATTTACTAGAAAACCCGATATTTGGTGAGAGCGCCCCTCACGCTGTACAAAGAGAGTGATGGACTGCGTTTACACACCCTACTTTCCACTGACACATAGGTCCCGATCTAGGGCTGGTCGGTTAAATGTTGAGAGGGGGATTGGGGGGACTGAAATGTTTTTTGATTGGTCACTGGAAATGTATCTTTGAGAGAAGGTTTCTAGCTGGTGTTTGAGTGACTGCGTGTAATGTTTAGTTAAATCAAGGCCTGATGCTCGACACGCGCGAATGCCATAAAACACTAGACAGGCCTCTATAGGATTTTAAAGATTAGCCAAGTAAGCATAATCAGCTGCACTCGAAGAACTAATAACGTACTTGTTCAACAAATCGCAAGAGAAAACGTTTCTTGGGGATGATTCTGCGGACGTGGCTGGTCCGTTGTCTCTATGACTATGACCAACAGTTTCCTCTTAGGCTATCTGTTCCCGACATTTACAGTGCATATTCATTACATTGAGCATGTATTTCTTCTCCCCCCCCCCCCCCCTCCATTTAACGCCTTTGTATTCTTAACCCCTGTCGGGGAATCCTTCACAAAACAGTCACGTGTCGTCACATTATCTGCCAAAATGACCCCCTCCCTCCAAGGGAAGTCACTAGAGTAATAAGGAATTGAGATGACTGTGTCCCTTCCTCCCCTTGCAAAGGTTCAAGTAAATGCATGCTCCGTATAAACACACGCTAAGGAGCCCTCCCGAGCACCGAGCGTTTAGGCGGAGACTACTGTATATACCTGAGCAATGGTGATCCACTTCTGCAGCACTTTGGCCCTCTGGGAGCTCTTGAGCTCTCTGGTCTTGAGCAAGGTGGCGATGACGCGCAGGGAGACATTGTTGAACTGCTGGATGGTGGCCTGGATGCTGGGGGCATCTGTGGCCGTGCCTTGCTTGTCACGCCGTGACCACACCGCGCCAAGGCAGTGGTGAGGGATTACCCGAAGAAACAGGCCCTGGGGACAAGGTCAAAAGGCTTACTCAAAAGGGTTTAGGTATCATGGTAAAGTTTGAGTCACAACGAGAAGCAACACTAAGGCTGTAGTTAATGCTGGGGAAAAAGCAAAGCAGACAATCGGAAACAACAGGGTGAAGTTCGAGTTGGAAGACCAATCCACCCCACATTTCAACAGAAACAGTCAACAGAAATGCGGAAAAGAAATGGGAGACATTATAAATGCACCCTCCCCCCTACAACCACCTGAAGTTCAGTTTAGAAAGAGTTTTACAGCGCTCGCAACTGCATAAGGTCATTTGGACATGCGAAACATAAGTTGGTTGCTGCTTAAAGGATTCCATAAAAAAAGTCTCTTACCGCATCCCTACAGGTGAGCTGCTCAGCTATTTTCCGACAGGAGATTTCCAACAAGGCAAGAGACTTACTGCTGTCCGTGTCTACTGGGTGACCGTTGCCTTCTGAGAGGGAAAAGGAGTACTCCAGCTGCTTGGCTGAAGACCAAAAACAGAAATGACAGAATTGAATTACAGTGATAGAAATGATAGAATGACAATGACAAAAGAAAAGAAAAAGAATTGCAATAAAAATAACAGAAACCATAGAAAAGCAGTCACAATGACAGAAGTGATAGAATATCAAAGACAATGACAGACTTACTCAATCTCACACAGAGAAGGTAATCTTGTTTAAGTGCAATAGTATTGAGCATTCCAACTATCAAGAAAAACATACAGAAACAAGTAATATTCTCTTTCTCTCTCCCACTCTCTCTTTCCTCCAGCTTCTCTTGATATTAGTAAAGTTAGCAAAACTCTGGACCAACTGGAAAGTCTCAGGATGGATCATGGAAATCTAGTACAGTATTTTCTTTTATGCTACGCCAATGTACACATTTTCACCAAGAACCAGGCAAAAAACATATGACCATGTTCTTTACCATAGTTTATACTTTGCTCACAACTCATTTTTTGGAACTGATCAGCATTCCTCTTCACTCAAACTGACTAAGAAAATTTTTTTCTCCATATTGACTTGCCCATATTTCAACTTAAAAGTTCAAAACACATAAAGACAGAAATGTCAAAGACAAAGTTTCCCTATCCCTTACCTGCAAGCTCAACATCTTGTTGTCGAAATCCTGCCAACACTTCCTTGACCTTGCGGCCGATCCCACTCCCGGGAGCGTAGTCATGAGCAAATTGCTCCAGCCTGTGGAGGCAGGTGTACTCTGGGCCCACATGAAAGTCCTCCGGGTAGGAATCCAGCCATACAAATATCACAGATTTTAAGGACCTGGAAAACAAAATGTTAACCTTCAACATCCATCCAAGTGCTTGTTTCTTGGAAACATCAGTGTATGATGGATGCACTGCCATCTTAATAACATGTTGTTCCCACGGAGTAAGCATAACAACAGCAACAGGTCATTTAATGCTGGGAAATAGTAAGATAGACAGAAACTACAGAGAGGAAGAGAAAAAATATTACTTACCAGTGGCACCCTCTAACTACCCGTAGTGGAATTAGCAATGGCTTTACGAACCAGACAGTTTATTGGTGTTAAAAGCAGTTTGTGGGGTAAAATATGAATCTATTTTGAGTAAAGAGATGTACACTGACACAGCCTTTTAGAGACGGGAAAAATGCCAGATAAGAAACAATAGAAGGGAAAAAAAGAAGTAGGACATACAAGTGAGAGGTTGCCCCCAACCACAAAAATATATAAGATGACAGGAACTCTGAAAAAGGCAGTAAAAATGGCACACCATTTCAAAGAGCCAACCAACAACCTATGCAATCCAGTAAGGACACCACAGACAGCTTTTCATGAGTTAAGACAAACAGCAAGTGGAAAGTATGAGAAGCTGATGATATATAAACTTACCTCAGCTGCTGCTCGTGAAATTCTGTTTTTTCTTCTTTTGTTTGTGATCGTAACTGTACATATCTGGGGGGGGAAAAAAGAAACAAAAAGCTTGTATTTTCAAGTCTCTCATGGACTAGCAGAAAAGGAAATGTGCACTGACCATCTTATGAGCATAAGTCTAACTTTACAAACCACTAGCGCTCAACATAAGGAATTGAGTGAAACCCGCTGAAATCTAGCTTCTGTTTCCCTCTTATCTCATTGCAATATGATTGGAAGGTAGGGGCAATCAGAAAAAAGCATTTAACCTGCCAGCATGTGTCACATTCAGCTATTCATATGAATAGCACCTCTCCTCCTGCCTCTGTCCAAATTAAGTCATTTTCTCGAAGGTGTGGGTCAATTTAGAGGATAAAAATCTTGAACATCTCAAATATGCAACTGACTTCAGGGCAGGGTGACTTGCATTATAGGAATGACAGGACATCGTTCTAAAACATTGCCTAAAAAGTTCGTTTTAAGTCTGAACAGTCACAAACACATATCAATGCTTGTATTGTCAATAAATACCATCGATCAGAATATGAAGCCAGTGTTACAAAACATTTCCCTGCAAAGCCAAAAAAAAATAGCCCTTTTCTCCCCCTTGTATTTTGCTCACCTCTCGATCAATGTCTCCAGCACTTGCTGAGGTGTTGCGAAAGTCCGATAGGTAGCTAAGAAAATGTTTACATGGCTGGAGTCCATCTCGCCCCGTGTGTTGGTCAGACTTTCCACAAGCTTTTCCAACGTCCCCGCCTTGATGACCCTGACCTTGTGTGTCTCCCACATGAGGTGAGAGAACTCCGAGTTCTTCTCATTTTCGTCTTCCAGCTGGAAAGGCAAAATATTCACTTTTCCATAGATCGTAACTCTGAACTAGGTTTTTACAGAGGTGCATAATTTTAAACAACATTGCATTAAGATCTCTGTCTATAGCTTTCTCTTTTCTTTCCACAACCATAACACTTTTGCTCATGCCTCAGTAGATAAATAAGATAAGTCATATACAGGTACTACATAAAAGTTTGGAATATTTAAACATACATTTCTGCAACATATAAATCCCCAGATCACAGAGTACGAAATAAGCCACATTACTTTTTGGAAATCCCTGCCGATTCAACATGGGGTCTATTTTTGTGGATGTTCTTTTCATAGAATGCTCACAAATGCATAATCAATAATACATGCAATTTCAGAATAAAATGATAAAATGAGCTAAGACAGTGGCCTCCCTCTGGAAACTCGTCATCCGAAGGTTTAAAAATATGGCTTTTATGCAGGTATGTCTTTAAGCCAGATTCCAGTCCCAAAAGTCACCAGCCAGCTCCTTCTAGTTAGCTTCCAGGTAACCACCTCCTCTGTTTACTTTCAAAAAATTACCTGTTACATTGGTACCATTTGTGAAAACTGGTCTGGCATTGCCTGAACAGTTCTTTATTCAGTAACAGTTATCCATCTGCTCTACAAAACTCAGAAGTAAAATTTTACCTGCTGACTTCGCATTTTCTTCAAAGCATCAGACTGACAAACAAGTTCACAGTAAAAAAAATCTATAATAACCATGGAGACTGAAATCAATAAATTTTCCAGGCTATATTGAGAAAACATACCCGAGTCTGGGACAAGTAGGTCACTTTCTTCAGGAAGGCATTGTAGACGGCTCCGGTTTCCTTTTCTTCCCGCCAAAATCTACTAGCATCATCCTGTGAAGAAAGTGTACACATTTTTTTAACAAATGACACAATAAATGAGAACAAAATTTGTTTCCTGAGCTTAACAAAAAGTTAATTTAGTTATAGACTACCATGACCTTTATCACAATTGGTAAGATGACTTCTCCTCTGCATAACATAATTGTACTCTTTTTCTTTTTGGTATACTTTTAACCCTTCTCCAGTTTGCAATGCATTTAGTGTCCTCAATCTGGTCAACTTTAACCCTGATGTTGTAGAATGAATATGCACTTCTTTCCTTCCTGAGAAGCCATGAACCCCTGCTTTTTAAAACCAGATGCTATGCATGTAATTGTAAAGCTGGGGCTAACCATTTGTTGACGGGGGGAAAAGGTTCCAACCATTCGGAACCATTATGATTTGTGACAAGATAAAAATTGTCAACAAAATAAGAAAAAAAATGTAGTGTCAATTTCCTGTGAACACTCTTCTTTTTCAGAAATAGACTGCTAAATAGTAGGCCTACACATTTCACAACCCCCTCCCCCCCCTTTCCCCCACCATCAATCCCATACTACCGTTCAACAGCAAGCAGGCAGTTTGAACCACAAAAACGAAATTAATCCATTCAGTTCAGTGTTCAGGCTATACAACCATCTTTGTGACATCAGTAATGGTTTGGTAAAGATTTTAGAGCAGCAGTTGGGGGTAAAAAATCAGTAATATTATGTCATGTGAGTTTTCAGGCTCTGCTTATTATTATGAAAAAAATAAAGTCACTGGGGAAGAGTAAATTATATATATATAATCCCCCCCCCCCCCCCCTTATCTCTGTGTACACACATGCGAATGCTCTCAAAAGTGTATACACACAGTTCCCCCTTAAACCTCTCTTTCAAAAAACTTTGGTAAGATTGAAGAATACCGGACCAGCAGACAGGGACTACTCTTGCCAATGTCTCAACCTTAGGAATTCATGATTTTCCCCAGTTTTTAATATCTCTCAATAGAGAATCTCGGACCGGTAGAACTATTCATTAACAATTTGTCAGGGGGGAGACCCCCCTGAATCCCCCACCCTCTCGCGCAATAATATGAGTGGTCTGGTATTCTTCAATCTAGCAATGCCAATGAAAATTTAATTTTTCGCTTAAATAGCCCTTTTTTATTTGGTACCTAATAAAGAATTTTTAATTTTAAGAATTATGCTTCTTGAATTTCAAGAATCGGTTCATAAATTTAAAAGTTATTGGGTTGTAAAGGTCGGCAAAATATGGATGACCCACAAATAGGAAAATACTCGAAACGGTGGACCACGCAGTAGCAGATTCTGTAAGATAATCGACAATATCTCGGTAATTAATTGGAGTGTTAGAGAGAAACGCGGCTACCCGATGTGTTTTTGGGTGGAGAAATTATTTCTTCCGTCAGATTTACTAACCATTCTGTAGTTATTTCGTTATATAATTAAAATTTTGGTGTACATGCCAAAAAGGGGGTCGGGATGAGTCCATTTTTTATTTATAGCATCTTATCACAACTTGGGATCTTTAAGAATATATGTTAGTAGCGTTACTAAATAATGGCAAAGCTTTTTTTGATGAATTTAGACCATGCCAACCTTAAAAGATAAGTTAATTCAATCTAGTATACCATACAATTAAAAATTCTCTCTCCCTGTAACAGGGGAACAGAGAGAAAAACAACCGGATGCGCGCGCCCGCCAGTGCCCTATTTTCAAGTGACCAATGATTGGGTTCGGAATAGTCATGCCGGGAATTATAGGTCACACACATTTGCCGCGAGAGTGAGGGGAAAATGGCCGGTCTCCGTGCGAAGCCGTTTTGGATAGGGGGTAGTCGAGCATTTATGATCGGGTCTAAACAGCTACTAGACACAGAACATTCAAATTTGAGCACACTATAGAGGATAGATAGATCTATTACTATCTCGGCGATGAAATTCAAGCTTCTTTTAGTTTTCAGTAGACCCGATACGAAAGTGTTCCCGACACCAAAAGTATCATAGGTTAATTGAAGTGTTCGAACTTCAACGTCCACATATTTTCTGATTGGTTGCCGAGTTTCATTCACATCGGTCCAGAAATAGAGCAGACCGAGGTTGACAAAATTAGTCACGTACGCTACGACCTGGTCCAAAAATTCACCCGCAAACGGGGACCAATTTTTCGCCCTGCAGGAAAGCCTGATTGGCATTGCTATTCAATATTCCCAAAATATTAAACTAAGAACTAATAGTGCCTTCTGTTTTAAACATGCTTCATTCATCACTTGCACCGTAACATCTAAGAGCAGTTGTTTCTTTTCCTAAGCTGGACCCCCTATAATAAGAATGTAAAAAAAGCATATATTTGATTCAAGAGACGCACATTGATTATGCTATCATTTTTCTCTACAAATAACATCAAGAGGTGAATAAAGCTAAAATAGTACACACATGCTCTGGACATTACAAATATAAAAGTGGCCACATTTATAAGCCTACCTCTGTGATTTGTGAATAAAGTGGCCCCACTAACACACAGCGAAATACACTTGAACCTCCTCTAAAGGACAACATTATGTTAGATATCACAATCACCTGTACAAATAGGCACTTACCATTTCTCTACCTTTTGTGTATCTTAAAATTACATTTTTATCAAATTTTAGGATGGCCCTTGTGTAAATTGCAATTAAAGAGGAGTCCTATATTGTCTACAACTCTACCACTTTTCTCCTTGATAATGGGTAGACATTTTAGAAAATTTCAAATAAATTCCTTGATAAGAATCATCATGCAGATGCTTGCAAAAGGGGGCTGATCCCCTTTCACTCCGCCCCTTTCACTCTACCACCCTCTCTCCCTGATGTGGACAACTCTAGACTCTAGGTGTGTGTACCTAGAACTGTGTGCTATGAACTTTACATTCTTGTTGGGCCTAAGTAGTGAGTGGGCCAACCAATTTTTGTTGTCATGGTAATCAAAACTAAAACTGAGCCCATGTGAATACCCTACAGAGATGCTAATATTGAGAAAAGTATGAAGTAACCCTGTCACTGCTGCAATTCAGACTCAAACAGCAAAGAAAATTAGTTTGCTTTCTTCAGTCAGTGATCAGTGCAGCTTTCATTCATTTCATTGTCAATACCCCCCCCCCTCCCCCGACCACACACTAGACCACAGCCACGGACAATGTACAGCTACTGAATCAGTGAAGATGGCCTAGGCCTAGATCTAGATTCTAGAGTTAGCAAGTGTTGACCAGTGTCCAAAGTATAAAGGCTAGTGGAGCCTAGACCTGAAAACAGTGAAGATTAGAAAAATGAATGAATATATTTTTTCCTTACCTGTTGCTCGGTAGAGGTTGTTTCCATCCCTTTATAAAGTGGGATTAAACATTTTTGAGCTCTTCATGTTCTCTTTTTAACTGTATGCAACAACAAATAAGATGCTGCCCTTTAGCAGAGGCAGTGGTTCTTTAGTAGCATACCCAACCCTTCTTATCTCAAAGATAACAAACTAAGGAGGAAACCAAAAATCATTATTTGGTAGTTACTTCCGGTTTGTTTCCAGTGAGTTTGATGACAGGGGAGAAAAATATACAGCTATTTTAGACAGCAAATGAGATAACAATTAGTTTCGTTTCATAAGAAACGCATCTTCTTGCTAGCAAAAGGAATAGTAAAAATAAAAACGTGTGTAACACTGCTTTGTCGTAGGATTCTTTTCTTAAGATATTAAAAACTTTAAAATTTATTTCGGATATATAAGACTTTACTCCTGGCAACAAAACTATAGCACGGACTTTTCTCTACAAAACATCCAAATGGCAAATCTCCGTGTGATGTAAACACGGGAAGAGTCCAGTCTGAGCAAATCCACGGGGAAAAAAAACCGAATAGCTCTATGTTGGGTTAAAAATTTATATTGATCTCTGGTCGCGAACTTAGAAAATCAAGACAAAAAAAACAAAAAAACAATAAAAGTATAAAGTTTATGTGTTTTGAGGAGGACAGGAAGAAAGATATTTGGGGGTGGGAGGGGTTATCCAGTATTATGTGCAAATGTTCAAACTATGAAATTGACTAGATTTCTATACATAAAACATGGGCTATAGTATTTACTCTAATCTCGTCTTTGCATTATGCTCCCCTTTTCTTTGATCTGTCCAGTGGGCTAGTGGTCTGCCTTGGGCACGGATCCAGAAGGGTTGCACATGTCCTAAAAGATGAAGCTACACATATAGTATATAGTTGTAGACCTGCCTCTCTTGTCTTTTAAACTGTAGTTTGTATTTCGAGGGGTGCGGGAAAGTGGTGGGGTGTGGGGCGGTATTGCAAAAAACAGATACAACAGCAGATAAGGCCCGGCTAGTCAATAAAGATTGGGTTGATTAAGGACGACACAAGCAAATAATCAAAATAATAAAGAGATGTAACTGCATTTATTGTCCGCATTTAAATCCCCCACCCCACCCCACCATTGTGGAGCAGAAGCCACGACCAAAAAATAGTCTTCACAATCTTTGGCCATCGCTAGACTACCCTAGAATTACAATGTTTCATCTGGCATTTTTGACCGTTTTGAGTTAAGGCCATATGAGGTCAGAAACCAAATGTTCTATCTGCTCTATCAAAATTGTAAGATTATTCGGAGCCGTTATCAAGACAAAGAATTATTGCATTCGATAAAGCTTGACACCTTGTGAAACTCCAATTTTTTTACGTCAAATATATCAAAACTAGGTATAAAACTGAGCAGATAGAGCTTTGTAGTTCTAAAGTAGCACACAGTCTCTCCGGCTGTCTCCAGCATAGCCTACGTCCGCTTCTCTTTGTCAGAAACATGTAGGTATCAAACATCTCGGTGTCGGCGTGTTCTTTGTTTCTTCTACAACTACGTCATAGTGTACTTTCGTGATATGAACAGAAACAAAGGACTCGATTACTCAGTTTTCTCAAGGATCTAAGGCCCCAGTTAGACGGTTTGCCAAGCCGTCTAACTTACTAGATCTATCTGCAAAGCTGTTAACTTGATGCCGTTTGTCATATATATGATGGTTTATATCTGTATACAAATACCATCCCAGGGCCACACGACCTGATGTTTTATACTGTGTTTACGTGTGTTCTGGCCTGATAAACACAGCTTGATTGAATGGGAATGTTCACTACTCACAAGCATTCATTTTCGCATCTGTCTCCGGTATCTTCAATTTTACTGTAGATCCCATATAATGCAAAAGGAGGTTGGTGGGGGGGGGGGGGGGTCGATGCAAAAACACATAGATTTGTTCTATTTATTTTAACAGACATAATTTGAAGAGTATCCATTAAAATCTTTTATTTAGTTTTCTCTGGGCACAATATGACTGGCACTTTATGCCGATGCGCGTTTCCGCATGAACACACCAATTTTGTGTTCTTAAAAAGGGGGGGGGGGGGGGGGCTACATCCCCATTAATGTCCTGATTCGGCTCAAAATTATGGATTTTGAGATGAAGACATATTTGTAGTAGTATTATAGGGTTTTACGGCGCTCGCAACTGCATAAGGTTATATGAGCGCGAAGAAGACATGATTAGCTTTTTTTTTCTTTTTTCTTCTTTTTTTTTAAAATTCAGCCTCTCTTACAACTATTTCAAAGCATTAGAACCACCAAAGCATTATTTCTTCCCATATCTGGTATGCTTGTCACCACCATTTCCTCATGAAGTCAATCTTTTATTTTTCTTTATTGCCCGTTTTCTCAAAACACGTTTTTTTATTTTATACACTTTTTTTAAAAAATACTTAACCATTTTCATCCAATCTCACTGAAATTTTCACAGAAGAAAGGGAATATGTAATACTAAAAACGCATCTGTTGAATTTTTGATTCATTTGTTGGTGATGTCTGGGTGTGGATTTTCACAGATTTATTGCAAACTTGAACTACCTCAGGAAAAAAAAATCAAAAATCTTCTAATTCGTTTAGGAAAAAATCCACAAACGAACTTGTAGATTTAATGTTTGCTAACATGCATGCAAAAGCAAAAAACAAAACAACAACAATAATCTATTTCCATGAAAAATAAGTGTGGTGTATTCGTTACGTAAGACATGTCAATAAAATCCAGTATGGCCGCGGTAGCCATGGAAACGAGAAACTTTTTTCTCAAATTTGATTGCAGATTTTTAAAGACTCCTTGCTATGCTTTTTATATGTCTGAAATTTGGTAAAATTTGATCCACTAATCAGAGAGATAACCTTCAGGTGTAGCCCCCCTTAATGATAATTTTGTTCAAATTTGAAGTTGCCAAATTCACCGAATGGTACGAAATTCGAATAAGACGAGGGAGAGCTAGCCCCAAAACAGAGAACGGGAAACTAAGGACACAAATATTAGGCTATTATTCTCGGCAAAGGAGAATTGCACACACTGACACACACTCAGCTGTTCGAAGTGTAAGTTATAGTTTAGTAAATGTCAGCTGTTTGTTAAGAATTTTCTAAGTGAGTCTTTTTTGTCGTTTTGACCACACAGTGCCTTGCTGGTCTATACTTCTGTAGATTAAATCTAATCTGCTTCTTGGTCTTGTCTACCCAACAAAATAGTAAGTTGGCTATGTGTCGTAGCAGTGTGTAGGCCCTCACAAGGCGACACACCCTGCACTCTTCAGTCACAACAAAGCAAAGCATGACTCTCTGCGCAACACTTAACTTTTTGTTAGGCCTACTTTTGCACAATGAGAGGATCTTGTGCCAACAAACTCACTCCATAATCTGCCACTACTTTTCTACTGTCTACTTCACTCTCTATGGCATGGGTCCACATTATAAATATAATTATAATTCATGATCTATATACTAGATCTAGATAGATCTAGATCTAGATCTATCTATTGGCTATTGGTTTAAATTGATACTGAAACTGAAAGTAGTGAAAGAAATGCTGAAAAAACTCAAAATACATGTATCCTTGTATACCACACTGACTGGCCTGTTGTTTCCAAAGGTAGGCTACCTCTTGTCTACCTGTCCGACTCTACTGTCGTAAGAGAATTTAACGACGAATGGTCCTGCCCAGGTAGCAAGACAAATTTTTCAGGAGAGGCAAAAAATGTTTTAGCTTTATAACTCTTGTTTTTTTATTCTTTTTAGCTATAGTTCACCGGATATCTGGTTAAGGTGTTCATAAAGCTGTTTCCAAAGTTGGAATTGTTTAGGATAAAAAGTAGCAAAGTTATTCGACATTCATCGTTCTCCCCTGCACTGCACGGCCGCAGTGAGCCCTGCGATGTACGCGAAAACGATGAATGGTACGGTTCGTCTTTCTCCCTTACACTTGTGAAGGGTTATGGGTGTAGGCGATGGTCAGTTGTGACGCATCACCGACAGAGATGACTGTGTACAGGTTACTACAAATAAAAGTAAGACGCACTCAAACTAGCTGTTTAAAAGCGTGTATAACGTTAGGTGTTTGTTATCCCAACTGAAACCCTGTGAACGTTGTTCATTTGCCTTCCTCACTTGGTTAAATACATGTACTACACAGTCAATGTACAAATCAGATGTGTTATTTAAAAACACATTTTCTTTCAACAGCTTGATTTAAGAATGTTTCATTCGGAATCAGGGTTTGGTCCCCATGAGATTTCTTTATTGTATTCTCTTCAGAAGCAAGTTTTACAATTATTTTCACAAATTGCAAAATTCTCCCTGCACAACCAAAAGGATCCATCATGTTACAATGTCAATGATATGATCACATCGTTGCAAAGTCAAACTTTCACATTTATAAGAAATATAGCAATCTGACAAGACTGTATCACAAACGCTCTTGGGAGAGGTAATGCGAGGCTCGTATTTAATAAAGCATTCAGTTGAAGGGGAAACAACAAGTTGTTGTTTCATACTCCAAATAGAGTTTGAAACTGCAAGACATTACTATACTTGATCGTAACATCAAGTCATATATAAAGAAATTGTTAAGTAAGACTAAGTGTCGCCACAATACGTCCACTTTTTAGGCTGGACAAAGACAATTACTCACAAATGATAATGCGTTACCATTATTTGTCAGGTAATTCTTTATGATGTCAACAAGTGACAACGTGCTAGAGAAACTGTGGCTTTATAACCATCATTATATGATTGGGATGTCAAATGACTGGACAGCAAACTAATATGACGTTAGTCTGTGAACGTCTGGTGGGCACTAATAAATATGCAGTGCTAATGAATTTCTCCCTTAATAATTTTTTTAACCACCACTACCCCCTTTCCCCCCCCCCCCTATTCTCATCCATTTTCCCCTCTTTCCAGCCTGCTCTTACTTATACATGCAGCTTCTTTGCTCTTGTCAATACACACCGTCAGCATACGTGAAGACATACAGGCACACAAGGTGATACATTCTTATAATCCTGGTGGATTGTACTCCGGGGGAGGGTGGTGGTGGTGGTGTGTTTGTTTGCTAAAAAGGCCCAGTATATTTATACTAGCGCAACAGTGACCAACTGTCATTTGTCACCTATGCCATAATTTGCCCGACGACAGAGACCAGGGGACAATGCCAAACGAGCAGTGATCCTTAACCAATCCACCATTCATCGTTTTCCCTTACACTGAGCACTGGCTCAGAGCTCGCCTGTGTAAGGGAAAACGACAAACTCTCAATTACGCAACAACAGATTAAGTTATGATAAAAAAAATTTGCACCGTCAGATGCAGAATTAAATACTCAATGAAATATGTAAAAATTCAAAAATCGAAAAATTTCTACCATTCTTCGTTTTCCCTTACGACGGCAGAACTTTTCTTCACTCTAAAGTAGTTTCAAACTCTACCACTGTCTTCACCCTTATTATCTTATTACCTAAAACCAGCAAATGTGAATAGAACATACAAATCTGAAAGATTGCCGCCAGTATACCCAAGGTAGTGCTTACTTTTACTGCTTACTGATCCCATAATCCACGAGGATCGTAGAGGCGCTGAATGATAGAGAGCCTCGTCAGGTGTCCCCACTTTTCACATTTTTTTTGCGAGCGCTGGAGTTTAGGTAAAGGATTTCCCTGTCCACTCCGCAATGTTGTCGGTCCACCTCTTTCTTTGCTTTCCTCTCTTTCTCCTCCCCTGCACAGTTCCCTGAAGAATGGTTTTGGATAGGCCACAGGATCTTGTTACATGACCGTACCAATTCATTTTTCTTCACTAAACAGTAGCCTGCAAGTCTAAATTAATTGTGGCTCATGTATTGTTCCACTCTACTGCACACTTGCTCATTTGTGATGTGGTCATTGTATGAGATGCCAAAGAGTCGTCTAAAGCATCTCATTTCGGCTGCTTGGATCTTCCTCTGAAGCTCTGCCATCAAGGTCCATGATTCAAAAGCATACAGAAGGATGGAAATGATGAGGGTATAGAGTAGTGCAAGCTAACCAAATATGGGCTAAGAAAAAAATTAAAGAATGAGTATAAATTTACCAGCTCGAAAATGTTAATGTAAGTCATCACAATGTCCCTATGATATGAAGTCTACTTCTTTGACAATGTTGTTCTAATCTAAGTCTAATGTGATTTTCTCTTTTCTGAAACTTATTTTTTCTGCAGAATGAGACCATGAAATTTCACAATGAATAACAAGAAAGATTCTGGTGCATCAGGAGTGGCAGACCTCCCACTTCCTGCAAACTGGAGTATGAAAATGTCCAAAAGCTACCCTGGCAAGATGTACTATGTGAATAAAGTGACAAAAGAGTCGTCTTGGAGGCACCCGTTAGATGTGAGTTGATTTGTGACACTGGTGTTTGATAATGATAACTAAGTCTGAACTTTGGGTGGAGAAAAGAGAAACTGTGTATTTAGATCAGTATGTGTACTACCTGTCCCTGTCTTAAGTTACCACATGACCTACAATCCTTTAATTTCAGAGGAGACTCGAAAGTGACTTTAATTGACAATGAAAACTGCATTAATAGCCTGACGTGGTGCTCAGTCATATTGAAAAAAACCTCCTCTGATTTCAATGTTTAAAATTTTATCTTCTTCTGAAAGCATTTGTTACTTTTATGCAGGACAAATCAATAATAGCTCTTGAAAGTTCCATCGTTCAGAGATCTTTCAAGACTCAAGGTTTTTATTTTAAAATGGCTGAAGAAAAAAAAAAGGGTTGTCATACTATTCTTTAAAGTTATTTTTGTATTTCATCTCTTGCAAAGTAAAACACATGGATAGAAAGCGTAAGTACATATCTCTTGCTCAAAATGCGGGTGTTTAAAGTCAGCCACAATAATATTATATATGCATGAAATATAGACTAAATTGGAGAGATAATAACCATGTATGTAATCATGAGTTCATCCAGTGGTTAAATTTGTCTTTGCTCAGTTTACTTTAGCACCTTTTTTAAAAACCTTTTTGGAAGTACATTCTGGCTTCCCCTAAAGTTTATTTTACATTGTTGAACATAAAACATCTGCATAAAATGTTTTTTGGGTTTTTTTCAGAAAACACCAACAAATAAAAAGAAGACTGGTAGTGCTCCCCATCTGGCATCTCATAAATCGACTAAAGGAACAAATAGCATGGAAGATGCATCCTCATCATGCTCCAGCACACCTAATCTAGGCCCGTCAGCAGTTTCTGCCATCTCCCACCTGTCTGAGGAAGAGCAGGTCCATGTAATGGGATTTAAATCTAAAACACAACAGAAGTCGGCACCACTCATGTCACTGGCCACTGACAGTAACAACTCAACTTTGAACGATAGTGTTATTTATCTTCGTACTGATCCTAACAACTCGACTTTGAACGACAGTGTTATTTGTCTTCATAGTGATCCAGCAGATACCAAAAAGTCTGAAGCAAAAGCTATTCCTGAGGAAAGTTCATCAAAAGAATGTAGTGATAAGAGAAAAACTCGTTCTAAAAAGAAGAAGAAAAAGAAGAAAAAATCAAAGGGAGCACCTGAACTAGAGAAACAATCAGATGCAAAGGCAGAGAGAATCTTGGGCAAAGATTCTAGATGTGATTTAAAACATAAACTTGCTGTGTCCCCTTCTCAGGAAATGACTTCAAAGGGTCTTTCACTGTCTGACTGCAACGCAGAGAAAGTTACCTCCACTCCATCTTCTGGTGCATGTCTGTCTAATTCTCGTCCAGTCTTAAAAGCTAAAAGGAGAAGCAAAGGGCTTGAAGAAGATTCCTCTGCAAAACATAGTCAGGTGAACAGAGTTGAGCCAGCTGCGGTGTCTCAGAAGAATACTGAAAAGGAAAGGCAAGCTGATATAGTGCTTGATCCTCTACCAACGGGACGAGATAGCTATCATGATCACTCTCCTACATCATCATCTTCATCCAACTTTGGTTTCAGAGATGCTCCGATTCTCCCATCAGTCTCTGATTCTTCTGTGATAATCGTTGAGCCGAATGATTACTCTACTGACCAGAGGGCAGATAGTTCTGTTATTGTGTTGGACAATACTCATGATGTTATTGATCTCTGTACTCCGATGAAACGTCGAAGGGTGAGTTCAAAAAGTGATGGTACATTGACTTTGCCTACGAGACCACAGCTCACAATGATTTCTCACATAAATCTTCTCGCGAAAAAACAGGATGTAGGTTGTGAAAGCATGTCACACAAGGTTAAGGAGGTCATGCCAGTAGCCAGCCCGGAGAAAATTGCAAATGAGATGAAACGGAAAAAACCTGGCCTTCCTGGAGAATGTTCTTCAGAGAAAAGTTCAAGGGAGATCGCGTACAATGAAAGCACATCTGAACTTCCGAGGGAAAAATCATCTGCATATGGTGCTGAGGTAAGTCAACAGTCATTGTACTTTGCATTTAATTATAAGGAAGTGTGGTATTAAATTTGGATATGGATGGTTATTATGTCACAAGGGGTAATACAATGAGCTTCACTGTGTAATTTATGCCTACAGTAGTGTTTCAAGCAACATCATTCCCTTTAAAAAAAAATTCAATTTTTTTTCCCCCATTGGATGATGAGCTGGTGAAATTTTCCGAGAAGGAAAGCATTTGTGTGTAAGAACTGCTGAATTTCTAAGGGTTCCTCTGGAACGGCAGAATGAATACTGATGGCTCAAGACTGGGTTTAGTCAGAACGAGCTCATGCAGGATTGGCACTCCACTGTGAGCTGTAACTTACCTCATGTATGAAATACAAAACTGTCTACATCACTTTATCATGTAAACACTTGTATATTCAAAGAGATTTTTTACATGCATATGTATGTAGGTGCTAATCAGGATAAGCTTGTTTTCTCTTTTAAATACAGTGTACTTTTTTTTTACCATGCATACGGTGATTGTTTTCCTCTTCGGGGAATCTTGATTATATTAGTAGGGTATCCTCTTTCAGACAAAAATTATATGATAATATCTTTTGAACAATATTTTTCAGGCCGTTCTCTCATCAAAAAAATCTGTTGAGCAATGTGAGATAAGCACACAACAACAGCCTTCTCAGAGTTCTGCTGCATTTCCTCTTCCAGGTGTGTCTCAATCTTTGTGCTGGGATTTTGTACCCTACCTATTTGATCTTGATAGGAAGTATCAAAGCAGCCCACCTGCTGCATGACCTTCGCTATGTTGATGGGAATGCAAAGCTTTTACAATTTATATAATTTACTTTCATCAGTCTTCTTAAGCGTTGGGGAATGTGTAGCCACTGAAATTTAGGCATGTAGCCTCAGATTCAGGCAAAAAGTGCCATTATAAATTCATTTATTATTATTATTATTGTTATTATTCATAAACAGCGGGACCATGCCAAGGCTCATTATTGCTTTGTAGATATTGTGCTCATTGGGGAGATATTCATTGGGAGTAAATTAAGATTTTTTCAGTAATTTCTGCAAAATGAATTGTATGTAACCTAGGAGAAAAATGATATCTTGATACATGTTTAGAAACTCCACTTTTTTTTTTCTCTTCTACTCTTCCCCTTTCATTGTTTCCTCCTTCTTTCTTTCTCTTCTCTTCTGTTCTAATTCTGTTGTAAACCCCCCCCCCCCCAAGTAAATGTCAGAGGTAACAGTTTATAGTTTTTTTAACCCAAAAATGCCTCTGATCTTTATGGACTATTTATTTTCAAGAATGACTGGGTTGTTCTGGTTATTTTATTACAGTCTGATGAAATTTTGCAGGTTTTTATAATAATTTTGATTATCTTTATCTACCGTAGTGTCTTTGATTTTCATTGGGGATAGATTTTGAAAATTGCTTCATACAAAAAAAATTAAGGATTTTTTTAAAAGGGATGCGGGTTTGGGTTTTTTTCCTATTTCTTCTATTCTTCACAATAATATGACAGTTTTTGATCTTTAAAATGGTATATATGTTATTAACAGGAGACGTTGGTGTGAACGATGGTTTAGCTGATGGCACAGATGCAACTGAGACAGTGCGGGAGATTGAGGACATGGATTTTGAGGAAGTTGGAGAAATTGTACTCTTAAACGTGAGAAATAGTTAATTGACCTTTGTTTTTGTATTCGTGAGAAACAGTGTCTGTTGTATGTCTGGAGGATAGTTCATAAGTGTAACCATAATTGAAGCCATACTAATCTCTAGTGATATCCAAATTGATCGGAAAAATCTCTGCTGCACTGCTTTTTCAGACTAAGGTTCAACTACATAAACGTGACACATACTTTGGTAATTTCTGACATAATCATATCTTTGGTGTTAGATTTAATTAACAGATAGATAAGAATTGATAGAATTCTTTCTATATCATCAAAGTAATTGCAATGATTTTAATGTTAAAATATACACCCTTGAATTAAAGAGAAAGCCTCCAGTCTTTGGAAAAATGTATTAATGTTAATCTAAATGTTCACTTTTACTCCTATGTTGAAACTGGATGGACATGTATCCAATTAGTTGACTAAGCTGTATTTTTAATGCTTAGATACCTCTTGATAAGTATTCTTTCTATCTGATCACTTTACATTGTGTCCTCAGATCCAGAATTTGAGAAGGAACTCTTCCCATTTGACATGTGCGGTATGTTATAATATTATGTCTCAAATAGTGGTAAAGGAAATACAACAAAAAAAGATTTCTGTTTTTGAATATCTCACGTGACTCTAGGGGGATGTAGTTTCTAACTCATCCTGGTGTGGCCTCGACTGGCACGGTAAAAGCAGATCAGAAGGGGTATTTTACTTTAACTTCTGAATATTGAACTCTTTAGAAATGAGTTGAAAATACAGAGAGAAAGGGAGGACGGGAAAGAGAGCTCTTGTAAATGATCAGAACAACTTTCCCTGAATAAAGATTTCTTTTATCATAGTTATTATGGGTAGTTAAGTGGATGCACCACTCGTAGGTCCTATTTCTTTTTTAACCCTCTACTGTTTCTCTGTATGTCTATCTTCTTGTATCATAGTTATTATGGGTAGTTAAGTGGATGCACCGCTAGTAGGTCCTATTTCTTTTTTAACCCTCTACTGTTTCTCTGTATGTCTATCTTGCTTTAACCTTAGCCTTGAATGAGTGACATCTCGTAGATGTTATGCTTGCTTTCGTTACACAGACTCCCCAACCTGTTGTTGTTCTGCTTGTGTTGATTTATTGTACTTTTTTTGCAACAGCCGATCGGCACGTTAACGGAGGCGGTGGCCAAAAGTCCCCTGGTCAGTAGCCCTGTGGTCATCAAGATTGAGGAGTCACCCGAGAAGCACAAGGTGAGCTTCAGTGTTGGAAGTTTGTTTGTTTTGGGTTTTTTCTCGTCAAGCAGGTCTTTGTGGATCACTATGTGGTCTCAATTATATGTGAGGTAGAATGATGAAATCTGGCGCCCGCCCAAATAATGTAATCAAGGCAATCCGCATTTTTCTGGCTGTTGGGCAATTTTTTTTCTAATTTTCTTTTTTTTTTGCTCAGTACCTTCTTTGTCCATTTAAGAACACATTTCTTTGTGGATTTTACATTGATCAAAGGCACAAAAGAATATAAATTTGCAATTCCAAGAACTCTCAAGCTTTGGAAGTCACAAAGCTTTGGCGCCCATTTTCTCGCTAATTTTACCTCTGACACCAGGAGATACCCACCTGCTTCAATCGCAAATGTCTTGACTTTTGTTCTAGATAGATGGGTTTGGGGTGTTTTTGCCAAATGCAAGACAAATGAACGAACTTTAAGATGATACTAATAACTCCCTTTGCCAAAAGATTTATGAGCGCCCAATTTCACCACTTCGTGACACATATTGTCGATGATTCAGCTGTGTGATATCATAACTGAATGCTTGTCAATAAAATGATGTAAACCCAGCTTTTGTATTGCTCAGGTTGAACATTTCTTGTTACAATATATATATATCATTGCCTGATTATCCTCATTTGTCGGTATGTTTTTGGCCTTGTATCACTCAAAACAGCAGATGAGTTGGTCTTACTACACTTGTTCTTTAATTTTTCTGATTCATTTTACTTTCTTATGGAGGTGGGATTTTTATGTATTCTTAGAAAGTGAATGAAAACTCGGTGGGGGGGTGGGGGTCGCTTCTGGTTGTGTTGTCCAAATTGTTAATGAATTAGGTTCAAATTTACTAGAAGAGGGCCAGGCTTCCTCTGCATTTGTTTTTCTCAAATAATTGCCTTTTGTAATTTGTCAGTCATTGTGCATTTTTTATATTTCTTTCTTTGAGTAATGTATTGAAATCATCCCTGGAACCTGAGAATGTTTTGGAATATAAAAATGTTTGTCAGGATAATAATAAATTGTTAAGCATATCGAGGCTGCTTTTAAGCAGAGATATGGGCTGTATTAATGCAGTTTGTTATTGCTTTTATTACTATCATTATTCATGTTCAGTGATGAAAAAAAAGTGTGGGTGGTTGGCAGGTGCTTTGATGTGATTTTCTCCTTCTTTCCTATTAAATATTTATCGTCCTCATCTCCCCTCCTGACTCCTTTTTTTTTGGTGTTTGTTACTCTCTTGTAACACCTCTAATCTTTGGCATTTATATAACCGTATTGTGTTGCAAGTGCCTTAAAACACTTACTAAAATAAAAACATGAAGCAATGTAGGAATGGCAGGCAGTGGTTGCTGGCTGCTATAGTGGAGTCTGCTTCATCTACTTCTTTTCTTTGTGACAATCATCCTAATCTGCTATTGGAGAAGTGCGGCCAGTTTCGTGCTGACCCTTTGTAAAACCCCAACTCAACTTTGCTGTCCCAGGTTCCCTCTCCCCCCCCCCCCACCCCCCAACTCTTTTTATCTTGTATTTTATATAATGTAGTTTGTAAAGCGCATAAGGCTTGCTGTTGAGCGTGAATTTGTGCCGTACAAATGCTATCTATTGTTACTTGTTTGGGTTTGTTGGGTTTTTTGGTTGTTGTTTTTTTTTGGGGGGGGGGGTTGTATACTGCCTGGCAGAGAGAAACATTCTCCATGTTGTTTGGGCCTTATGTGGATCTTATGCCATGCTTGAAAATAGTATCATTTTCTGTTTGGTTTGTTGTTTTATCTAAGTCATTTTTTAAAAATTCACCTGCAGGCTCTCATTCTTGTGGTGGACACGAATGTACTCATTTCCTGCCTGACTTTCCTGAGTGAGATCATGAATGCCGATCTTCCAGGTTAGACCAAGTTTTTTTTTTAATCCCTAAAATTCTATATTACAGTCGAACTTGCTCTTAACGACCACCTGTCCAAGAACAACACCCCCTGTACAAACAACCACTTCCCACTTCTCCCTTTTGTGGTTATTTTTTGGGGTTTTTTTCTGTTGTAATGATTCTGCCTAAGAAAATCACCTACCCTCCGGGGCAGTGCCACTGACTGTAGTGTCTCTAGGCCATTCCCAAAGGTGGGACATTTCTCGTTCAAGCACAGTAGAATTGTAAATGGGCTGATTCATCAATGTCCAGCTCATAACTGTGCCTGATCTACAACAGGGAACTGCTGCTTTTTCTTTCCTAATCCTTACTATTGTCATTTTCCTCTACTTCTTTTGTATGTTTGTCACACTCTTGTGACCCGCTATTTCCGGGGTACCTTGATAGTCGAAGCAGACCTTGTGCTGTTGAAGCTGGAGAGGTGAGCAGAGTAAGTCTGATTCCTTGTAAAGACTTCTCTGTTGACACACACCCCTTGGTGCTCATATGACCTTATGTCGTTGCGAGCGCCGTAAAACCATCTACTAAAAAAAAAAGAAGAAGAAAATCACCTGTCTAAGAAGATAACCACTTTTCCTTCAGCATTGAACGATCCTCTTGGTCAGGGTTGACTATATCTATAACGTAGCACCTTTGGTACTCGTGACATACTGTTAATATGTTTTTGATTTTGAGGTTGTAGAGACAATGACTATTTGTCTTGAATTAGGGGATTTGTTCTCTCTCTCTGTCTCTCTGTCTCTGTCTCTCTCTGTCTTTCTGTCTCTCTGTCTCTCTGTCTCTCTCTCTCTCTCTCTCTCTCTCTCTCTCTCTCTCTCTCTCTCTCTCTTTCTCTCATGGGGTATATGCAGACTTACAAACACACACTATGTACTTTCATTATATAATCATTAGTCTTTAGGCCCTATTAGAACTAGAACTGTCAAAACTGTCATATTTATGTGTTTGGGGCAAAGTGTACTGACACACGTATGCTGATCAACACCTCCCCAGGGTTAGGAATCCCAACTCTGGTTTTGCCGTGGGTCGTCATGCAGGAACTGGACTTCATCAAGGACAGTCGCAAAAGACGAGACAGATATGTGAGTACATTTTATTTTTTTTAGCCCTAATTTCCTGAATTTATTAAAGGTTCTAAAGAAAAAACAACAGCAACAAAATACAGGGAACCTAAGAACCCGTACAAACAACCACTCCCCCCCCCCTTTTGCATTTTTCCTTTGTTATAATGACACTGATCAAGACCTTCACCTGTCTAAGATGACCACTTTTTTCCCCAACAATTGGTGACCATGTTGGACAGTTTTTATTTTAAATACCATTTCCCATGAGGATTCATCATCATCATTGCCTTTCTCACCCTGCACCAGGGTATAGACCACGGACAAACACCCATCACTTTTCTCTATCCTGGGCTAGCCTCTTGATGTTATTCCATGTCTTCCCACTTTTCTGTACATCGATTTCTGTGATTCTTCTCCAGGTTCCACGAGGTCTTCCCCTTGATCTCTTGCCCTGTGGGTTCCAATCCAAAACTTTCTTTGTTATGCAGCAGCCTGACTTCCTGACAGTATGTCCAATCCATCGCCACCGCCTTCTTCCTACCTCATCTCTGACTGGGATCTGTCTTGTTTTCCTTAACACTTCCACATTGGTGACCCTGTCTGTCCATCTGATCCTCAGTAACTTTCTTAGACACCTGTTCAAGAAAACCTGGATCCTCTTTATGCAAGTCTGTGATGCGTTCCATGCCTCACATCCATACAACAGGACCGACTTCACGTTTGAATTGAAAATCCTCAGCTTTGTTCGAAGTGAGATATCTCTGGTCTTCCAAATCCTATCCAAAGATATGAAAGCAGCCTGTGCTTTTCCAATGCGGGACTTTATTTCAGCACCTGTTCCTCCCTCTCTGTCAATTATGCTCCCAAGATAGCAGAAGGATTCAACGTTTTCTAGGGCCTTTCCTTCTATTGTGACCTGCTCCTTTCGTTGTGCATCTGTCCTTAGGACCTTTGACTTTCCGGGGTGGATCCTCAATCCAACAGACTCCGATAGGCTGTTTAATACTGAAGTCTTTGCTTGCATCTGTTCCTGAGTGTGCGACAGAAGCGCCAAGTCGTCTGCAAAATCCAGATCGTCCAACTGTGTCCATGGTGTCCACTGTATACCATTTCTGTGTCCTCTGGTGGTTTCATTCATCAGCCAGTGGATTGCCAATATGAAGAGGAACGGTGATAGTAAGCATCCCTGTCTCACACCAGTCTTGATGTCAAAGCTGTCAGTGAGCTGGCCATCATGTACAATCCTGCAACTTGTCCCTTCGTACATGCTCTTGATGAGGTTCACCAACTTCTGTGGGATTCCGTGGTGTCTCATTATCTTCCATACTGTCACTTGGTCTATACTGTGAAAGGCCTTCTCATAGTCAAGGAAGTTGACAATCAGCTGGGAGTTCCACTCCAGGGACTGTTCCACAATAATCCTCAGCGTGGCAATCTGGTCGGTGGTTGAGCGATTTTTCCGGAAACCGGCCTGTTCATCCCATAGTCTTGGATCCATTCCTGTCTTGATTCTCTCCAGAATGAATCTGTTGAAGACCTTACCTGGTATTGAGAGAAGAGTGATCCCTCTGTAGTTGCTGCAGTTGCTGAGATCCCCCTTGTTTGGAAGTTTCACGAGGTGTCCTGCTTTCCAATCCTTTAGAAACTTGCTCTCATTCCAGATCCTGGTAAACAGTGGGAGGAGGATGTCTGCAGTCACATTGGCATCTGCTTTTAGGGCTTCAGGTGGAATCTGGTCGGGACCGGCCGCTTTACCTTTGTTCAGCTTTTTAATGGCATCCAGAATCTCTTGTTTTGAAGGAGCATCACAGCAGATTGGTAACTCATTTCTTGCTGGCAGTATGTTTGGTGGGTTACTCGGTGGTGGTCTGTTCAGGAGACTGTTGAAATGCTCTACCCATCGTTTAGACTGAGCTTCCTTTCCAAAAATGCTTTTCCCCTCTTGGTCCTTTACAGGTACTTCAGGTTTCCCATATTTTCCAGCAAGTGTCCTTGTGGTCTGGTAAAGGATTCACATGTGCCCTCCTATCGCTGCTTCCTCTGCCTTCTCTGCTAGCCTGTTCATGAATTCCTCCTTGTCTTTTCTTATTGATTTCTTGACATCTTTAGCTGTTGTCCTGTACTGCTCCAATGCCTCCGCTCTTGATCCTCTTGTTCTACTTGCATTCACTTCTGCCTTCTGCTGTCTTCTTATCCTAATTAAATCCAATGAGTGTTGGCTAATCCATTCCTTGTGCTCCCATTTCTTCCCACCGAGTACTTCTTGGCATGTTGATGAAAAGACTTCTTTGACCTTGGTCCAGTGTGTATCCACATCCGTGTCCTCACCGCCAAGATCAGCTAGAGGTTGAAATCAGTTCGTCAGCTGCAGCTGAAACTTTTCTTTCTTGTGTCCGTCCAAGAGACTTACTTGGAACTTCGTTCTTTTGATTCCTGTGCTGGTCCCGTGCTTTTTGAGTCGAAGCTTCAGTTTTGCCAACAGCAGATGATGATCCGATCCAACATCTGCCCCTCTCTGTACTTTGACATCGTCCAGTGAACGCCTGAACCTACAAGAGATACAAAAAGGATCTATCTGGTTCTCAGTCACTCCATCTGGCGAAACCCATGTGGCCTTGTGAATCCTCTTGTGGGGAAAAACAGAGCCTCCAATAACAAAACTGTTGAAAGCACATATATTTGCAAATCGCTCACCGCTCTCATCCATTTGTCCCAAGCCATGTTGTCCCATAATTCTTTCATACCCCACGTTGTCCTGACCAATCTTGGCATTGGCATCTCCCATTATGATGTTGACATCCTTCCTTGGTAGTTTGTCGATGACCCCCCTGAAGCTGGCTGTAAAAGGCATCCTTGCCTTCATCCGAAGCATCATTTGTTGGGGCATAGATTTGGACTATATTCATGTAGATGCTCTTGCTCCTTGTAGTGAATGAAGCCATGATGATCCTTTCCCCGTGTGGTTCCCATCCTCTAAGTGACTTCTGTGCATACTTACTTAAAATGATTCCTACTCCTTCCGCATGGTACTTACCTTCCCTCCCAGAATACAATATTTGTTCCCCGAGCTGAGCTGCTTCTGTCCAGACTGTATCCAGTGTGTTTCGCTGACTCCTAGTATGTGCAGCCTGTATCTCTTCATCTCTTGTACTATTTGAGAACTCTTTCCTGCTTCATACAAGGTGGGAACATTCCACAGCCCAATCCAGAGAGACTTGTTCGACAGAGAAGGTTTCGGGTCAGAAGAGTCCTTTCGGCTCTGTCCGCTGTCCTTCATTGTTCCTGCTGATACAGAAGCTCCTCCGTCTCTCAAGATCGAAAAATAAAAAGCTGTGTTTGTCCGTGTTTTTGTAACTTACTGTTTTTTACTGGGTTGGGTAGTTGGCCCTCCGCAAACTGGCACTTTTCGGGCGACCAGACCTATGCACTTTTAGTCGCCTCTTATGACACACAGTATCACGGCAGGTGTATTCTTTGCTCCCCCATAGTAAAACTATGGATGAAGATTCATTGAGGAGTAAATATTGTTGTCAAGAAATTCAACCATCAAATGATGTCACAACTAATCATTGTTGTTATGGTCGTGTTGTTGTTGCTGATACTGTAGTAATTATTGTTATTGATTTAGTGGTCCAGTTATTGTTGCTATGGCTTTAGTTTGTTATTGACCCACTTGTTTTTTCTTTTTGATTCAACTTTTGTGAATGAACCCAAACTTTCAAACTGTGGATGGTTGACAGTTGCTCTGGTGTGATTTGTTCCTTATTTCATATCAAATATATGTCATCCTTATCTCTCCTCCTTCTTTTTTATGTTTGTTACTCTCTTGTAACACCTTTAATCTTCAGTACTAATAAGACCGTATTGTGTTTTAAGTGCTGTCAAATTTACTAAACCTAAGATTTTAAGGTTGTTTCATTTTCACTGCACTATTTGATGCGCACAGAACGAAATGACCTGGCGTCGTGCTGTGGAGGCTGTACATTTCATCCACGCCAAACTGAATACAAAAGACCAGAACTTGATTGGTCAGCCCCCGAAAGAGGTGAGACTCAACCCTTGCACCAACGTCCCTCCCTCCCACACAGATGTTGAAATATATAAACATGTTGTTATTATTATCGATCCAGCAACAGCTGGGCTCTTGCCCTTCTGTCCAATGCCATGTAGTAATAAGAGCAGGTTAGTTTACTGCAGTTGCTGTAATGTTCCATAGAATGTATGGTCAATTTTAGGTCTCGGCAGGATGAAATATATATAGACTGATGAATATTGAAATATGTATCAATAGACAGGTGGGTGGGTAGCTAGCTAGCTAGCTAGCTATCATTATGCTCTTAATTTCTTTTAATTTTCAACCCTACAATTGTCCTATCTATTGTTTACTTCGAGAAAATTAAAGGTTAAAAAAATAATGATGGGGAAGATCATAAAAGAGGGAAGAAGTGTGTATGGCTTGGTGTTGGTTTAAAGACCCTATTTATGCTATGAGATTATTAAAGAGGCAGAACCTTCAAGTAACCTGCAGGTTAAACATTGATCTCCAATATTACGACGTCAAATAGGTTGAGACCCTTAAAAACTCTCTGAACTGCAGGAGTTCACAACTGCCTCATTATTAGTTCAAACCATGGTCATCACCACCACAGTTCAGCTTGGTTAATACACTCAGAGAAATGTGTAACAGAGGAGAGGAAGTAACTGTTTTATGTTTTGATTATATAAAATAGGAGAGGAAGAAACTGTTTTATGTTTTGATTATATAAAATAGGAGATGAGTTAACTGTTTTAGGTTTTGATTATATAAAATACGAGAGGAATTAACTGTTTTACATTTTGATTTTTTTTAAAGGAGAGGATGTAA